CCTCTCTCCCCCCACACTCTCTCTCTCTCTCTCTCTCTCTCTCTCTCTCTCTCACACACACACACACACACACACACACACACACTCTATATATTTCTCTCCCCCCCCACACACTATCTCTCTCTCTCTCTCACTTAGAACACACGACACAGGTCACCTCCCACCCGTCTACATAGTTAGGACAGGGGAGGGAACCACAAGCTGCTTCAACTACGTAAAAGAGGGCCCCGTCTTTATTAGCTGAAGTTCCTGGAACTATTTCTGGAGCTTCGTCCAAGCAGACGTATCCTTGCCTATAGTAAGCATGGTGTTGGGAAACCAGGTAACCATGATACTCTTGTGTCCATCCAGCAGGACACGTCTTCCACGCTGGAATCATAACATGACTGCTGCGGCCCTGGGTGTGACAAACAGCACATGGAGCATCATAGTTCAAGGAACTCTGTCCCTTGGTATTGGCCCTCAGGAATGGGTCATTGCTGCTAAATCCCATTTCATATTCAACGCCATATATATTGGATCCATAATTCTGGCGGCCATTTTGGTGTTTCCCCCACTGTGGTACTTCAGGCAGACATAGGCAGTTGTTACCACCACCTTTAGTATTAAAATAATTACCAGCTGAGTAGCCTGCAAGAAAAGAAACAATTGTAATTGTAATATGTGGGTTATTATTACCACAAATGTAACACTTGGTCCTTTTTACAGATTCTCGTTTGAACAATAAAGCGGTTGCGTGCACAGCAGAAATATGTCCAGTTTGCCACGTACATCATTTGGCAGGCAAGTTTACGACCAGAAATTTGAAGAAGGGCCGGTTTTAAAGCAATTTTTTGGCTGACCGAGTGATAATTTAGTTTATTTATTTAGTTATTTATTTATTGGCACCTGGACTTATTTTGAGCTGTCTAAGAAACTGCTGGTAATAATTAATATGTGGTTCACTTTGTCTGTATCATTAAGTTACGTTTTACAGGGACTCTAGTTCGGCTAGATAAGATGAGAAATAACTTCAATGAAAAAATGTGAAAGAGACTCCTAAAAGATTTCTAGTGATATAGCATCCATGTCAGTTGTAACTCTTAGCTTGAAAGGAGTTCAAGTTCCATTATTTGCATCCCTCTTCTTTAGGCATTATCCAGACCCTAGAATGTTTTGAATTTTCTCTTGCATGATTCGAAAATTCCAAGAACAAGATGAAATCCAAAGGGAAGGCACAAATTATCAGCGTGAGGTTTGGACATAATAACAATCACCAGCACTAACCTTTATAAAGAAGTTTGGAAGAAGCTCCACAGGTGGTCCGCCCCCATCTTGTGTACACAGCTCCCCCTACAGTCGTGTTGGGTGGCAAACCTAGAACACGGTTGTCATTATCAATGCATGTATATGTATTATAAGGTATCAGGGTTCTAAGCTTTATCATTTACTTATCCCGTTGGTGAGAATGTCAAAATGTCAGTAAATTAACGCGTTAAACATCTCATGGTCGAAACTCACGACACAGTACTTCATATTTATGTTCTGAAGAAAAACAAAGTGTTTACCTAGATTTTTGATAAGTTCTTTGATTCTGTCATCTGTCACTGCAGGGCCTGGGGGACCCTGTAAACGATAACAGGACTATTAGTGTCATTAATGGTCTTTTATATGTGTATTTAAATTATGAAACCCGATGCACCGAAAACGTAATGCGTAAATTTATAAAGTAAAATATAAAAATTAAATGTTTTAATTAACAAATATAGCGTGACCTACAGTACCTGGAGTCCGTCTTTTCCATTTTGACCTGGAAGACCATCCTTTCCATCTTTTCCAGGTTTACCCTCCTCCCCAGGTTTACCAACATGGCCAGGTTTCCCGTCTTCGCCACGTCTCCCATCTCTGCCTGGTTTCCCATCTCTACCAGGTTTCCCGTTTTCGCCAGATTTCCCATCTCTGCCTGGTTTCCCATCTCTGCCCGTTTTCCCATCTCTGCCTGGTTTCCCATCCTCACCAGGTTTTCCGTCACTTCCAGGTTTTCCATCTTTACCAGGTTTCCCATCCCTGCCATCCCTGCCTGGAAGGCCCCTGCATGCACTTGGGCAAATGAAAGCTGTAAAAAAAATAGTATACCCTGAGTGTCAGAGGCCACTGTGAAGATTCTTAACTATCGAAACGTTTTCACGATATAGCTTCACAGTGGTATTGCTGATATGGGTTATATGTGAACTCAATATCGAGCTGGCAATACCGGAATCTAGAACCTAGGGTAAAATATTATAGCAACAATGTAGGCCTATAATGTGTCCGTCCATGTCTGGGTTCTATTATCGAAGATAACATATAGTGCTCATTCTATCCATTCCAAAGTTTGTCAAATTCTACATAAACAGATTTAGGCTACAAACCCAGAGGACAAAAAATAAAAAAACTGAAAATAATGACACCGAACTTTTCATTAATGTTTAAATAACTTTAAAGAAGATATTAAAGCTTGATTAGTCATAGTTACACAAAGTTTTATTTGATTGGTAAATTTCACAAATAGTGTCTGTCATGTGTATATTGTGTTAACGCATGCAAACTCAGGTTTAGATACGAAGCACTTCAAATAATATTTCAGATTTAATTCGAAAACAAGATTCTTAGAGACTGCCTAATACGGAAATACTGTTGGGTGGAATGAGAAATCCACCCAACAGTATGCTCCATTTTGGTAATCAGCAAAAGACAATGTAACGAAAACGAGCAAAGTGATACATGCGGAGAAATAAGGCATAAAAACTCTTGAATTAGAATGAAATATTTGTCAGTGAATAGATGTTTGAAAGGTCCAAATCATAGTTAAATAATTTTACGTGAATATCTATGCGTGGTATTGTTGCTTATTTTACACGTGTGTGTGCACCACTGTGTTTCCGTGCGCACGTTTTCGTGTGTCAAGTGAATGTGTGTTTATGTGAAAATCTACATGTGCTGCTTGGCTAAGCTAAAACAACGATAACTTTGTGAATATATTTAGCATTATGAGGATTAACAGAGTGAACAATACAACCACAACGACATACGTGAAATGCCAGATGTTACTCACAGCTGTGTGTCCCTGTTCCTGATAAAATATTCCCATTGTCATCTTTCATTGACATCAAGCCATCATCAGAAGTGGGACTTATGGAAAGCTGGAGTTTGTGAAAGGATTCCTGTAATCAAATAAATAGCAATTAGAAGTATGTTTAAAACACGTACTCAGCACGCGCTTTACGATTTTGACTGACAACCATGTATATATATTCACAATTTTTCTACTACTATAATGTTCTAAACGCATCACGAGATTAATTTTTCAAAATGGGCGCAATATAAAGTTTGCTTCAGGCATTTGTAGAAAATATATTTTTCTTAAGAATATCGCTACATTTAAAAAGAATATTTTTTTTTTGCTTTATGTTCTTCAAATTCACATTTCACTGTCCAATCCTACCTTAAGTTCTTGGTTTTCTCTCTTCAGCAAAGATATTTCATTTTGGTTTTCTCTCTTTAGCTGAGATTTTTCCTGTTGGAATTCTCTCTTCAGCAGGCTGCTTTCTTGTTGGAATTCTTTCTTCAGCAAAGATGCTTCTTTTTGGAATTTTCGCTCTAAACGTAAAACTCTCTCCTCCAGTTTGCTGTGTCCGCTGTCTTCTATTGTGCTGGAGTCAGCAGACATATTCCATGGTACCACCATCCACACAATGGCGGCCAGAACTGCTGTCTTGGACAGTATACAGAGAGACATGGCTGCCAGCAAAATAAACTGTAGACTGGAGCCACCTGTCATATATTGATGTACGAGAATGAAAAAGCTGATGCAAGTATATGGCCGTGACTCTATGAAATGTGACGACTATGTAGGCCTAAATCAAATCCTGTTATCTTGAATGGTTCGTCTTGAATGACGACTATATGTGGTGTTCTAAGCCATCATTTGCGAGGTCAAATACCTGTAGAAGCTTTAAATCTTTATGTTTTACTTAATGAAGAAATAAGAAAGTGGTGTACAGGTTTTTGCACGATAAATTACCCACTGTTATTTGTATCTGCAAATATATAAGAGAGAGAGAGAGAGAGAGAGAGAGAGAGAGAGAGAGAGCGCAACGGAGAAATATACATCTTTTTAGACCACCCAGTAATTAATATAATTTGTAACAAATTTTATACAAATTTAATTCCAAGATAGATCAGCGGAATAAGTTTGTGTGTACGAGACTTTTGGTAAAAAGAACTGATCAAGAGATATCATAGTTCATTATTATATCTGCATCCATAGTTGTTAAGACCAGGGCAAACCTGCAGGTTTAACAATAACGACAGCTATCATGGTAATTAACATGGATGACATCAACACCAGTGCTGGGAAGCAACATCGACTGTAGCAACGCTTCGTCTACCTCAACTTTTTATCGTGAAGGGATGGGACGCTAACTATAAGTTCTATTAAGAAATACACCAGGCCAACGCTCGTGAATCACTGAAATACGATTAGACTTCTTTGTAACATTGTGTTATCTGTAAATGTGTTTATTCGAATGTACAACAGCCAAGAAGATTATGTTTATCACTGAAATACGACTAGGCTGCTTTGTAACATAAATCTTGTTATCTTTAAATGCGTTAAATCAAATGAAAAACAGACAGAAAAAATATGATTATATTACAAACATAATGATTGACTGTATTCTGAGAATTTGGCGATGTTTTAAACTCACAGTTTCGGAGAAATGCTGTGAAAGGTCAGAAATTTGAAAGGCCGTTCTTTTTCTTTTCAAATGACCCAACTTAAAAAATGGCATAGAACCCAGATTAAGTTTTAATGCAGAGGAGACATTGTTTGACCAAGATTACAATTCTATCACCCCCCCCCCCCCTTTCAAGACCAAAATCCCCTGCGTACGACCGTGTATTTTCATTTTTAGGAAAGGACCACCAGGGGATTCTGAGTCAAAGATAGGATTTGGAAAATTTCTTCATAATAAAACCTTCCTCCACCCACCTCCTGCAACAGTCTACAATTCTTTTTGTTAGTCTTGGTTGCGGGTATGTTTATCAGTTATATAACTCGACCAAAAAAGTTCGGAAACATCTTTATTTTGAATAACTATAAAATAACCATATGAGGCAAATATTTAACCAAATTTTGTTGGATAATGCACCTACCATTTATTACTATTTTTATATACACTGAAGATTTTCTCGACACATTACGTAGTTTATTAATCATTGAAAAACAATTTCACGTTTTTGTTCAAGTTTGCATAAACAGGTCTAGTAACATATACTATAATCTGTGTGAGAGATGTTTATTTGGAATGATCTAGTTTTAATCATGTTTTATCGTGTGATCCTGTCAACAGCTTTAAAACACCAAAGGTACACGCGTACGTGAAATAATATATTTTGTTTCATATAGAGCTACTGGTAAAACATGGTTAATGTTGTCTGCTGACTAAGTTTAGATTTTAGTTTGAGGAAAAAATGCAATGAACTTAAACTTTTGCTTTCTCAGAAATTATCCATGAAATGTCATTAACGACATTAACCTAACTTAAATTAGTATTAAAACCTACTTGTATTTCCTTTTGTGCAATAGCTAAGCTGAACTTAAGGTGCCTGTTAGATAGCAATAACAGTCCAAATATACATACTGCGCATGCCATGACACGTATAATATCTGTGCTGAATAAATCAGCTAAAAATTTCACTACAGCAGTGATAACATCAATATTGCTACAGTAATCAATGAAGGAAATTAAATTGCTTTTTTCTTAAACTTAATTAAAAATTTTCACATATAGAACTAAGGGAACAATGATACACAGCTTTTTAAAACTTCCAATTCATTAGAAACAAGTAGTGCATAGAAAAAAACTTCCAATTTAATTTAGATTAAAATACAACCAGGATTTGGTAGTTGCAAGTCAAATTATTCTTACATATATGCAAAATACCAGAAGATGTGATATAACCTGGTAAAAATAACAAATTATTCTGATTTTTGTGTTTGAGAAGTACAATATGTTTGTACCAAATAAAACCTAAAATGGTTTAAAATTTGGATTCACGCTGCTTTATAAAGTTTTCAAACTTCATAGTAGAGTTCACATTTGAGTTTATCTTAGTTCTGTGATCACGTTTTGTCAACGCTAGCATTCCCAATCTCCTCTTTGACTTTTTATTCCTCTTGGTTTTCTTGTCTCCAGTCACAGTAACTTCCGACTCTTGGTTTAACTGTGGCAGATAGGCCCTGATGGTGCTGCCACCTGGTGCCTGGAATACGGTCTCTCCATCCAATGGCTGACCATCGTAATCTTCATGCTGTGGCACACCGTCATCACTTATTGGCGTGTTTGCCAGCAACCCATCTCCTGTATCATCTTCTTGGTCCAAATTGTTCATATTCCAAGCCTCCTCTGGCTCATTATGCACTGGATCCGAAGGACTTGGTGCTACTTTCCTTTTCTGCCTCCATTTCAGAGGAGACATTTCAGTGTTTGTGTTAGATTCTTCCAGTGTGGGTATGTGTGTTTCTACATCAATTGTAGTCTGAGACATTTGCCATTTGGAGCTATTCACGTATTGAATGGCACCATCATCTGAGATAACAGTACATGTACCACTGGATGCACTTCCTGGACGGAGATTCTCTAATTCTGGAACATTCACAGATTCCAATGAACTACCTACGTTCTCCAGGAAACTTCTCTTTGGCTGTGGTTTTTGCTCAGCTTTGGGACTGTTCACCTCTGCATTGACAAGGCTTGCCTCAAACTGAAATGGCTGCTGGGATGCAACAGTCCGCCTGCCTGATTGCAATGGAAGATGATGCAAAGCAGCTTTCTCCGTCACTTCAACTGCAGTACCTGGGCGCACAGTAGGACGTTCACTCAGCACCATCTCATGTGGTGTACTGTAATCCCTATTGTGGACTGACTCTGACTCTGATATAGTGATAGTCTCTATGGTTTCATCTGATGGGCAGGTGCTTGGGAGATGGTGACCTTGCCCTTGACCTGTTTCCAATGGCAAGGAGCTGGTGGAGATGACAGGGTCATCTTGTGTTGGCTCTAGCTCTTCACCATCTGTACCAATGCCACTATCCTTTGGACTGACTGTACCAAAACTTCTATCCAGTGGGCTCTCTTTTCCATGTGTGTTTTCTGAAATGCTTTCAGTGCCCAGGGATAAGTTCTGGAGTTCCCTTGCACCAACTGTCATCAGCTCCCCCTGACTGTGACATACTTTCTTTGATAAAGCTTCTGTCAACTTTTTACCAGCAGATTCAATGCCAGCTTTGGCCTCTTCCTCGGCTGCCTTGTCCTTATCCGGGGTTTCTGCAGACTTATCATTACTCCCTATCAGTTTCTGCATCATTGCCTCTTTCTGGTTTTTGTCCAACACACTAGGGATTTGACGAAGAGGAGGCAGAATGGCAGAGCGATTAGGCTGAGTTATGTTGGTTATGTTAATAGGTCCACTGAAAACTACAGTTTGTCCTATGGAAGATCCACTTTTTTCAAATCTAGAGTTTGTGCTTGGCTGCTGTTTTGACTTTTGTGTCAAAGAACTTTTGCTTTGGTCTCCATGATGATGGTCTCCAAGACGGTGGTTTCCATGACTCTGTTGAGACTCATCTACCAGAAAATGTTTTTCTATTTGAAGAGAAACTTGAGACCCCACTTGAGAGGAGCTGCAAGCCTCGTCCGTTCCATATCTATCAGCGTAAACAGAATGTTTGGGTTTATGTTCCAGGTGTTTGTGACGTGACGTATCACACTCTGGTGACACGAGGCTGAGGTAGCTCTTGTTGGTGTTATCGCTGCCACCAGGTGGGGGTAGTGGAGTGGTGCCTTCAACTGGATCCTGTCTCTTTGTGAATGTAAACTGGGGTCTTGGAGGTGGTTTTGGTGGCATGCTGAAAATATAAGATATTTTATAATATGTACTTCCCTGGGCTCTGTATAATGTATCTCCAATTTTCTGAATGCCTCATTTCATAAAACAGTGAATATTAAGGTAAATACCATGTTGAATTCATACAGCCAGGCACCTGCGGCACTGCATGGTTATAGAATAATCTACAGTAAAATGGTACATCAAATGTACCGAAAACAGCAATTTGATAAAGTAGTAGTTCTGTTATGACTTAACCATCAGCATGAATAAAAAAGCCCATACTTAACAAACCAAAGCTTTCTGCATATGTACATGGCTTTGATTCACAATGATTACATGTGGCAGAGTGATCTACAAGTAGCTATGTATTTGTTGCAGATCCATGCAGATTCATACAGATACAGTGTGTCATAAGTTTAGTAGAGTTACATTCATATTAGTAGAAATGTCAGAACCTTATTTTCCAAAAACAGAGAAAAGGAGTACTAAAGGAAAACACTCAGAGAGAGGAGAGAGGAAGTGAAGAGGATTTGGCAATTGTACATGTACTATCGCATCTGTATCTGTTTTAACGTCTTGTTTTGTAAATGAAGTACTCACTCTCGTATGTAGCTGTAATCACCACTTGGAAATAAGCTCTGAAAAGAAATAACCAACTATTAGCTCAACACTTCATCAAAACTTTTTTTGTATTGACAAATCAAAATTTATATTAAAGGTGGAATCTCTAAGTTTGCCTGATGTAAGTTGGAAATTTCACATTTATAGAAAAATGTAAACGGCTATAAATCATATAACATTTTCCTTACATTAACATCATATTCATCCTTCGTGTGAGATGGAATAAATGTGGCTTCATGTTTGATAACTGGTTTCTTGCACTTCACATTTGGTTTCCTAAAGTAAAGAAAAGAAATTTTACAAGTTGCAGCAACTTCCAATTTCGCAATTTTTCCCCACATAAAACATCTTTAGATAAAGTGATGACCTAAAAGTTCCCACTTAAACCATCTTAATTCAGTAATGACATAATTTTACCACTTAAAACATTTTCAGATGCAGTCTCATTAGAATAAGTATACCATATTGCATGTGTAGCTACATCCATACATGTGTGAGTGATGATTATGCATTGTACATGCTGCCCCATTCATTTATTACAGAACTTTTATGAACTGGAGGGATGAACTAGTATGTCAATTTCCAACCAAAAATTTTAAGAAGGTGCAGTTTTAAAGCTGGTAGTATTGTTTGACCGAACAAAAGACTTATTTTGTTCAAGACTTTTGAAATTGGCATGTTAACTTTATTTTAGTTTTATAAGTAACTAGCACAAGCTGAGTTTATATGCATTACTTGAAATCCATGCTTGCTTTATATGTTAACTTTTAAGTTATAAAAATAATATAAAGGTTTGGTTTTGAAACAATCATGCCATAAATCTTAAATATGTCCATGTGTAACTTACCAAACAAAGCTCAATACAATCACCATTACAAATAACACTCCATTTAGAGAGGCTGAGATTCCAACTGAAAAACATCAAAACACAATCAATGCACTAAGCTTGCATCAACACAAAATATATACTTCTGAAAATATGAAGGATAAAACACACACACATATTACAGTTTAATTAATATATTGTAGTTTAACTTAAAGTTCCAATCTCAGTATTGCCAGTTAAAGTTGAATTATAAAACTTTTATGATTCTACTTAATGCCAGGGGGAGGGGGGGACGGGGCGTTAATCTGTTAAGCTGATTGCACCCAGCAAGAATCCCTGCAGAGTTGGGTCGATAGAGCAATGGTGTCTATGAGAATGGTGTCAAACACAAATCTATCCCTTTACGCACCAACAACAATCAGATCCTGGGCATCAGAACAGGACGTGGCATTCTTCACAAGTCCCAGAAAACTCTTCTCAAGTTCACACTCTGCTTCTTGAGATCTGATGTGTATACTTACTGTCCTTTGGCTGAAAAAAAAATAGAGTGAAACAAACCATAAACTGATTTACCGGTCAAATTTTGTAAAATACATGTACATATATGACTGATGAAATCATTAACTGCTACTAGTACATGTACAAATACAAATAGGTGCATGATGTCTTAAATCTTAAGTGTCAGAAAAATAAACCTTCAATATAATGCATGTAAAATTCTGAATCTTGAAAATATTTAATTTATATATACTTAATTCACAAAAAATATATGTTTGCTTTAAGACAGTGTTTCTAGTACTACATATTTCTGACTATTAAGGACATTTTGTAACAATACTGCGTAATCCTTTGTTTGATATTAAACTTACTTATGCCAATGAGGAGCATTTCTTCCTAAAAAAACATTACTATATAGTGAACTTGTGGTTTTTTTACAAGGTGATCTTATTATGTCTATATAGAAAATGTATTACCTCTCCATGGACTTCACTGTTCCATTGTCCCTCACAGTCAATACCACAGTACAGTGTACAGGGAGGTCAGTGACATTGCCCCTGTATTGGATAGTGGTGCCATCTACACTAAAGTACTACAAGATCACATTGCACATAAGAGTAATCTATGATTGCTATACATAATTGGGATTGGTACCACATTTACTTGGGGAATGTCTAATAAACAATTTCATGTCAATATATAGATAAATAGATTAAAAAATTACTCAACAGGGCATGGGCTTGTGAAATATATAATGCTGCAATAATACAACCATGAATTTGAAATGAGAGAACCAGGAATAAATAAATAAATAAATAAATAAATAAATAAAAGCTCAGCAAAAATTTATGATTATAATAATCATTAAAGATAAATTAAAAACTAATAAATAAATACAACGTAACAACGAAAAAAGAAAAAAATAGACAGGTTTAACTTAAAACTAACCCAATCTGAGTTCTTATCCTGACCAGCCTCACTTCTAGTTCTGAAACATGAGAAAGTGTTTTCCAAACCCAAAATCATCTGTCCTTCAGGTGTCCCTGGATCATCACCATCTGTAGCAGTCACGTTGATCCTGCCCAGCGTCCCATCATAGCACAAATTTAGAATAACTATGTCCTTCACATTGCTGGTAATGTTCACCTCATTGATTTCTGAATCATAATAAAATACTTCCTTTAATTGGACATGAAAAACATGAAAAATAATAATATCAGCAAAAAAGCTAAATTGTATTTGAAGCAACCTCTTTACTATCTTTACACGATGAAAAATGCAATTTTTATTAATATAAATTTCACATAACATAATGACAATCACCTTATATTTTAACATGATTCTTCAAAAAGAGTTCCCTGAAATAAAACTGTTGAAACTTAAATACCTGAAAATGTCACGTTCATTGTAACACTTACTTTGGAATATTGGTGAGTAGAGGTTTTTGTTTGGTTGCACCACTGTGATAATCAGGTCAAGGTCACTGCTGCAGTATTCATCAGGTAGTCCAGCCTCCTTCAACACAGGGTCTGTGGCTCTTATTTTTACCTGGAATTTATTACATTTGTTATCTATGGATGGTTTCAGTCACAGCATTAAATCAAGGACAAGTTTCCAGTGAATAGCGAATCAATCTATCTTCTAAGTGCCTTTTTAGAATGAGGAGACTAACTAGTTTGAGAGTCAAACATGGCTTGTCCACTTGAATACTTCCCCATGGGATATCTTTTCAGTGTCTATTAGCAGATTAGATGGCAAGCTTTGTAGTGGGACACCATATTTGACCCTCAGACTAGTTAGTCCCCTATTCTAAATGGGGCCTTACAGTGTAATTGTAGTCTTCATTTTGCAGAACCAGTTTCTCCGTCAACTGTAAAATACCAGTGTAGTTCTTGAGTTGAAAATGTTTGCTATCTCCCTCCACAAGGCTGTAGAGTGTGGTAGAATTCTCATCACTGTCCTCGGCCTCTATCACTGCCACTGTGGTGTGGACAGCCTGATAACACAGAGAATTAAGTTTACAGTTTTTGATACATTGTTACAATATTACTAGCCACTTACACCCTTATTAATGAGGATGGACAGCTAAGTTTTATTTTGATCTACTTGCAATTGACTGATACATCTGTAGCAAATGAAACTCGATAATAATTAATTTTATAAGTCACAGGACAAATATTTTTGTTTTTAGGCGCACAATAATGATGCAAAATTAAGAAAAACAAATGCTAGGTATATATTGTTATCTAGATAACCTACATAAATAGCAGACAATTTTTGTAAATTCTATTTTTTTTTATTCAATATAAATAGTTCAAAATTCAACTACACATTATACTGCATAGCCTCGTGCTTGGACTATGAGATAATCAAGATAATATCCACATACATGTACTGTGCAGATTGCTGGTTATTAAGAATATTTACATGTGCGAGCTAATTTTAGTTACTCACTGCATTTGCTGACAAATTAAGCCGTAGGTAGCTGGTGCTGAAAACTGGTTTCTGGTTGTTAATTTTTATGACTACAGTGGCCTCTCCCTGCTTTCTGTTTCTTCCATTGTCAGTAGCAAGAACTTTCAGTGCTACCCTAGGATTGCCATATTTCAGAAAGTCACTTCTAAGAATTCCAATAACCCCGGCTTCATTACTTGAAAAAATAAACATATCTGAAATGAAAAATGCATACATGATTACTCTATTGAAAAAAATCTGAAAATGTGAGCAAACATGTAATTGATGTATTACCTTTTGTCTAATATTGAAGTTTTACATTAATAAAAGTTTTTGTTTTTCTAAATAGGTTTGTTATATTTCAGTGTGCTAATTGTAATGATTACTATTCAAAATTTCACTGTTTTAATTGATAACATATTTCACATAAATTCCAGAACAGTAAATATCATCACAGAAAAGTAAATATCCTCAAAGGCCACTGAGGCATTTCTTGTATCACTGACCATGATTATCTTGAAATGAATAAGTCACTTTTCCATTGCTATTATCTACATGAGTGGCACAGTTGTCCAGGTAATCATCATCTGTTGCCATGACTACCAAATCTGATTCTACTAAACTAGCAAAATGGTTGTGCACTTGTATTCTGTCCAATGTGAAGCTGTAAACTGACTGGTTAAATACAGGAGGATATGTGTTTTCTGAGGTTACCGTAATCACAACCTAGAAATAGTCATGGTTGGATACATAAATATCATACAAAGAAATTAACTGATGTGTTCAGCATCTTATCAAAAGAAAAATATAAAAGTATAGAGTAAAGAGGAGTTTGATCATTGCAATATGGCAATATTGAAATAATTCACCAAGTCATGTCACGGTATATCCAACTGCCAGACAATGTGCAGGATGTTTATCTTAAAATTAAAGCTAAAACAAACCCAAATATCTCAACTGAAGAATTTTTTATGTATCCATTACAGACCGAAGCACCCTACATGTGTGACAAATATACAAAATACATGTATACACTAGACAGTAACAACCAGTCAGCTTTTAACAAAAGAAAGGGAAAATGTACAAAATTCCATTAAAAATTACTTACTTCAGCCACAGATGTATATGTTCCATCTGAAGCAGAGACATTGAAAGTGTTGTTACCACTGATGCAATTTGTCCCTGCTCTGGTGATAAAACCAGTGGAGGAATTGATGGCAAAGGAGGCTGGAAGTGAACAATTCCAACATCTAGTTTGATATCAAATGCCAGGCCCGTAGCCAGCAATTTCAAAAGGGGGGTTCTTTTTCTGAAAAAGTGGACCTTTTTCCATAAAAACTTCATGTACCTAGATCAAATTTTACCCAGAGTGGACCTTCTCCCAGCAAAAGGGGTGCTTCTTTCAAACCCCCCGAACCCCCCCTGGCTACGGGCCTGAATGCAATATTATGTTTGAAAGGTTTAAACTCTTTTTCTCTCAATTGTGACCCGGTGTTTATTGGTTTTGGACTCAACATTTTCTGAGATCTATTGAAAATTTATCTGCCTGATCTTCTCAAATGTGGATGTAATCTTTCTAAAATGTTTGAAAAATCAACATCTAAAAATTTGTCTGTATACAAAATAGTCTGAAACAATTATAATATCATAAAAAGACAAATAAGCAGTCAGGAATTAGCTGCCATCTGTAAACTAATACTGAAAACTTGCCTGTATCTGATATACTGTATGTGATATAAGACTTACCTGTATGTGATATACTGTATGTGACATAAGACTGACCTGTATCTGATATACTGTATGTGATATACTGTATCTGATATACTGTATGTGATATACTGTATCTGATATACTGTATGTGATATAAGACTTGCCTGTATCTGATATACTGTATGTGACATAAGACTGACCTGTATATGATATACTGTATGTGATATACTGTATCTGATATACTGTATGTGATATACTGTATGTGATATACTGTATCTGATATACTGTATGTGATATACTGTATCTGATATACTGTATCTGATATACTGTATGTGATATAAGACTTGCCTGTATCTGATATACTGTATGTGACATAAGACTGACCTGTATCTGATATACTGTATGTGATATACTGTATCTGATATACTGTATGTGATATACTGTATCTGATATACTGTATGTGATATAAGACTTGCCTGTATCTGATATACTGTATGTGACATAAGACTGACCTGTATCTGATATACTGTATGTGATATAAGACTGGCTGTCAGCATCCACTGCTGTTACATTGTTTATTGTGTAGCCAGCCTTAGCCGCTGCAGGCACAGTAAACTCATAGCGTCTCTGGTCAAAGACAGGTGCGTTATCATTGATATCCACCAGGCTCAAAGTAAGCTTCATTTGGCCGACATTTGTGCCATCATTTGCATAAACTGTTACATTAAAATAGTGATCAGCTTTGTCTTCATAGTCAAATGTGTTGTTTGTCACTCGAATTTCTCCTGTGACATCTGAAGTTGTAAATGTGAAGAATGCTGTTAATCTTAGATGTTTCAGTTTGACCTTCATCTAATAAAAATTAAAATGTTTGAACTTCAGTGAATTCCCTGTTAAAAACATGTTGCTTTAATTTGTGCTAATTTTCTCATCACCAACATGTATTCACTCATATCGTATATAATATATGCATTTTAAAATTAGTGGCACCTTTTGACATTACATTCTACAATACTCTTTACAATTAACCAGTAAACACGAGAACCATCTCCATTCTTCATCTTCCTCCCAGCAGCTATGAGAAGATAACTTGTATATTTACCATCAATAACAAACCCCCTTGTTATACTAAGTGTATCCAGAGAATATGTCACCTTCCCTGGAGTAATGTCATTGTCAGTGCTGTTAACAACCAGGAGCTACAATAAAATGAACAACAACAACAACAACAATAATAATAACAATTATTATATGCAAAATATAATTTAATTTAAAACTGCAGTCAGAATAAAAAGCTCCCAAAAACATGTATTAAAATAATTTATAAAAACCAAACCAGCACAAGTATATGACTTTCTTTCTTAAAAAAAGGTAATAATCAAATGCCTCAGATAACATAATATGGGATGAAACACACATAGTGGTCAAATAAAGATAATCAATTAAAATTGTAAGTATGAAAGTGACATTAAATGAACAAATAGTAAACGACATATTACAAGTATTTTATAAAAGTAAAGAAAAGTTTGAATGCCCCCCCCCCTATAAAGATCCATATGTTACTTACAATGCCTTCATTTGTTGTATTCTCCTTCAGTTCAATGTGGGATCCATTACAGCTGACACAGAAGATCACAGGAGCTATGTCATTGATGTCCATGATTTCTACAGTTATATTTGTACTACTACTCCTCTCTCCACCATCAACTGCCTTAATAGATAATATATATGAATATTAAAATAACTAATTCATGTCCAGGATTTACTACTACTCCTCTCACCACCATGAACTACCTTAATAGATAATATATATGAATATTAAAATAACTAATTCATGTCCAGGATTTCTACAGTTATATCTTTACTGCTGCTCCCACTAGTGCTCTTGATTTGGTCTGAAAGTGAAATTTAAGAACACAAATAATCTAACATGGTCTTAAACAATGAGTAATACCATTTCAGAACTGACAGCCAAGTAAGTTGTAATATATGCAATTGCCTCCCCTCACACGTTCTCCTATCGTGAGCAGAGTTGTCCTCCATTGTGAGGGGAGGAAATTGCTAGACCACTTATTTATGTTAGATCATTTTTGATCTTCATGATGTCTATATCAAACACAACAAATCACTTCCATCTTGTTACTTACCCATACAACAATCTTAACATTAGGGTCATCCATGATATGTCTATATCAAACACAACAAATCACTTGCATCTTGTTACTTACCCATACAACAATCTTAACATTAGGGTCATCCATTGTGTCTCTATCAAATGACTTGGTGACCATCATCTCTCCAGTGGTTGCATTGATGCTGAAGTGACCTGCAGAAATCCAATTCAATAACAAGAAATTTAACATAAAAAAATGTTTTGTGAATGAAAACAATAAATGAAATCATTATAGCCTGTAAGTATATGCCATGTTTACTATGCTTGAGATTCATTTTCAAATCTGACTGTAGAGGAAACTATTTAAAGCAATTTATTCTTTACATGAAAAATTGTTAAACTAGTCATTGCATGTTGACTCCAAACTTATAAAGTATGGATTTTTTTAGAACAGGGCTAGACCCTGACTTGTCTGTGTACAGCTAAGATTTGTGGCTGTACATATGAAGATGATATTACCAGTATTACATTGAAAGTCAATACCTGGTGGGTCTTGCTCTCTGATAACATATCTTATGATTTGATTGGTTCCAATGTCTGCATCATGAGCGGTGAGGGTCACTACATGTCCAGTGTAACTTTCATTCATGCTCCTGGACCAGAAGACACTGTCACTGTCAAACACTGGGGTGTTGTCATTGATGTCATTTATATGAAGATGTACCTGAAAATATCAGTGACAGTACAGAATGAAGTGGGGGGCAAATGTCACTTTTAAGAGTTGAACTGATCAATTATTTCCTTATTTATTCTTTTGTTTATATATTCACCACAATATGGTGGATAGAAAAAAAGAAAAGAATAGTAATACATAAAAATCATTCCAAAAGTTAAAATATAGTAATAAGTTAAAATACTTTACAAGAGGCAATAAAATTGAATTTTTTTTTTGTGATTTAGTGTTGTCCCTGTCAATAAGAACTTAAAAATGTCTACAATATTTCCTTAGATGGGACTACTAGATTCGTACCAAGGGATGATACAAAGAGGAATACATATAATGTCATAAACAAAACTAAGTCATCATCATACTGTCAGTGAGGTGGTATAAATTACAAATATTCAAAGATGAGATACAATATACTGGTATAATGAAAAGGAAAAAACTTCACAATGAGGAAAGGAGTTAAATAATAACTCAGTTACAACCACCATTTACCTGAGCCACACTGCTGAGTTCTCCAGGTGCACTGACACGTACACTACACAGCATGGCATCCATCTTACCAGTTGTGTTGTAATAGTCTTCTCTGTCCAGTGTGCCATTGAGACGGATTTCTCCTGTTGTCTTATTGATAATAATAAACCTGGACCCTGAGCCACAGTCCAGATCAAAGTTACACTTCTTCTCCTCGCTAGATTTGGTGTAAGTTAAATTTATCACTGGCCAGGGGTAGTGCTGCTCCTCTGTTATATTGATGTAATAGTCCAAGTTATCAAATTTGCATGGTACATTTTGACCTAAACTTGAAAATGTGATGTTTGCACATGTAGAAAGAGGTGGGGAGCCGTTGTCAGTTGCTTCCACTGTGAGAACAAAATGTTTACATTTTTCTTTGGATTTTATACATGTATCTTTGACTGATAATAGGGCAGTGTTTGAAATGTCAAAGCATTCTCTACAGGGATTATCAGTACCATGAGATGACATGTTGCACGGGTAACTTGGAAGAGAATATGTAATATTTCCATTCTCTCCAGAATCTTTATCAAGGGCCACCATGGGAATGACTAGCCCATTTTGTAATGCTAGACTTATGTCTGAAATCAAAAACTTAGGTGGGTTGTCGTTGATGTCCTTAATGATGACCTTGACCTTTGCACTAGTATTGCAAGCATCTTTGCCGTTATCTCTAGCATAAACTTTGAAACTTATATCTAGAGCATGATTCTCATCATAGTCAAAAGGGTGCCGCATTGTTATATTTCCTGATGTGGAGTCTATTTTAAATGCTTGTTTGTCTGGCTCGCTCAAGTAGTAAGTAACGGTGCCATTTTCTTTTGCATCAGGATCTGTGGCCTTGACCTGAGCAAATGTGCCGTTCCAACCCTCATCAACGTAGACAGTGTATTCATCTTGGTCAAACTTGGGTGAATTATCATTAATATCTCCTATATCTACCTGGACTGTGGCAGTGGATGAATGTGATGTACATGTTGGAGAAGAGTCGCACTTTGAATCATCCACAATGACATGAAACTTTATTGTGCCATTTGGGATTTTCTCACGATCAAGGCTACTGTAAATCCAGATCTTACCGGACGCAAATGGGTGTTTCATTCTGAAATTTCTATTCTCATCATTTTCCGCAATTCTGTAGTGCAGTGATGTGGTGCTGCTGCTGTCCCTGTCTGTGGCTAAGACTTGACCGATAATTGTGTCCACTTCTTGGTCTTCTGACACATTAAATTGATAGAATTCCATCTCAAATTCAGGAGCATTGTCATTCACATCAACCACTGTAATATTAACTATTGCTGTGTCATTGTACTTCCCATCTGAGGCTGATATCAGGACAGTGTGACTGTCTGTCTCCTCTCTGTCCAAAATACCATTGGTGCAAATAACCCCTGATGTGTTGTTAATTTGGAAGGCATCTGTCCCATTCAGTAGTGCATAGTGTATCAAAGCATTTGATCCAATATCCTTGTCTGATGCTGCTATGAGTGGCTGCCAAAGTAATGAAATATACATTGTAGTACTATCAACTCCTTTGATTTTAATTTCTGGGTTGAAGAAAAATTTTTGTATATGTAATACAATAAACTTTAGGACAAACAATTTTACATGTAAACTACCAGTCAATTAATCATCATTATCTGTGGCCATAAAAAATCACCTTGTCATTTGGAGGCACGCACAATGTATTTTTTAGGAAGTGGCTTTTTGGACAAAAGAGGTGCACTCATGAATGTCCATACCACCTGTAAGTATCTCATCTCTACCAACTATTAAACTGACAGCAGGCATAAACAAAAAGCTAATTAAATGCAAGTAGTTCAATTAACATTAATCCTTCATTTTAATTTACATACTGCAATATGTTATAATACTGAGTAAATCATAATGATCTAAATTTACTATATTAATATTAATACCTGTAATTCCACTGTAGCACCTGTTGTGTTCTCTTGTACTGTTCCCTGGTAGGTGGTATGATAGAAAACAGGTGAATTGTCATTGTCATCTCTGATAGTGATATTTACAATGGCTATCACCTGGAAAACAAGATAGTGATGATGTACTTTACATGTAAACTGTATATATGTATATTTATATAATGGAGATCAATCCACCATGACTATCTACATTCAGGGGCGGACTGAAGCTGCCCTCTGGGTCTTCTGGACAACAGTCAACATTTTTTATGTATACATTGATGGGCATCTATTTTTTCTGTTGGAAGATGGTCAATTAGAGGATGGATCAATAGAGATTATTTGGAAGAGTCAGAAAATATCTCTGGATCTGCCCCTGACAATATATATATTAAACATATTTACATAATATGTAACATCTATATGCTGTGCATTGTCAACATTTAAGTTGAGACATATTGTTTTTTAAATTTACTGTGAAACCTAGCACTGTCGTCATATGAGTCATATCAGTCTGAAAATTAATTTCATCTTTGGCTACTAGAGGGCAGTAATCTCACCAGTGGACCAATAAAATACACTCACCACAGATTGACAGCTGACATATAAAATACACTCACCACAGATTGACAGCTGACATATAAAATACACTCACCACAGATTGACAGCTATCCACTTCCTCCTCTAATGCCATCACATACACTATATAATTGTCATTTTGTTCCCTGTCAAATACTTTGTTTGTATAGATGAATCCCTATAAATAATAGAATTTAGTAAAGTATACTACAATGAAAGGAATATAGACTGATATTGTGATACACCATACCGTAAAAAATCACAGCAGCATGCTTTACAAAGCTTGACTTTGATTCACCATAAGTTAATCTTTTTTCTTCATCATTTTCTATAAATTTTTAACAGACTGACAAAGTAGCACAGTACCAAGATCCCATCTGAAATATTAACATAAATAGATAAAACAGAAAATATTGTACCAAGAAAAAAATCTTACAGTTGTTTCATTGATGAAGAACATCATTTCATCTTGCTTTGCAGTCACTTGAAAGTTGTAGTCAGAGAAATTTGCTCGAGCTGTTTTATTGGTTACTAAATGTAAAGAGTTGTTGTAATTTCCTTCCAGTAAGAAGGCCTCGGTGGTGTTCTCCAGGTTGAAGGAATTAGGATTATACTTCAGAACAGTCACTCTGACTGTAGCATTGGCTGTGAAGTTCTCATCTGATGCCCATACCATGAACTCAAGGTAAGTGTCATTGTTTGACTTGAAGCGCTTTTCTCTATGGAGGTTTCTGAAACGGATTTGATCATTAGTGTACAGTGCTCCTGTTTCTTCATTCACCAAAAATAGTTCCTTCACTGAATTCCTGGCATCTTCCACATCTGTTATGGAGTATGTTATGTGTGTAGAATCCCTGTCAGTGGCAGTGGTCATATTGATCATTGTAAAGTACCTAGCACCATCTGGCACTGAGAAGTTGTAGACACTTTCACTGAACTCTGGAGGTTCATCATTCACATCAATGACATGCACTGTCACAGGTACAGTGTAGTGGCTGTCATCCAGGGTAAGATTGAGGCTGAAGTGAAAGCTCGAGTTCTGCTCAAAATCCAACCCTTTTGAAAGCCAAAGGTGGGTCAAATCTTGCAATACACTTATACCAGCAGGTGCTCCAACAAAGTCTACACTCCTCAAAGCAGGAACACTTATATTTCCAAATGTTATATTATCCACATTTTCCTTGATGTTGATCTCAAACTGATCAGCAAGGAATATAATATCCACTGTAGTGCTGTTATATTTGGGAGGTGTTCCTAAATCTCTGGCCTCCACTGTAACCTGTACTGTGTATGCTATGAGATCTTCAACATCACTGATCACATCTGACATATTAAGTCTACTGCTGGTATAAATCTGTCCATAGCTGTTGATATTCAAGAAGCCCAAAGGGTCAGAGATAATTGTGTACTGGAGTTTAGAGTTGTTCCCCAGATCTCCGTCCACAGCTTCTACCACAGAGACAATGGTGTTTTCATGGCTGCCATTACGGAGGATGGCAGAATAAGACTGTTGGGTGAACTGGGGTACATGGTCATTGTCATCAATTATGGTGATTGATATTGGAACTGTAATGGGTGTAAATGGTGACAATGAGGTCTGAACCTTTACCTCATAAATATTTTGAATTCTGGCATCTAATCTTGTGTTGAGATACAAAGTGTTTTCAGAGACATTGTAAAACAATCCTGGTATTTCTGGTTCTGAAGTCACTGAGCAAGTTCCTCCATGTGAGTTCAGGTTTCCACATAAGTTCTGGAGGGCAAAGTTATTTTCTGTGTCATTTTCAGTCACAGACACCTGCCATGACTCAGCAGAAATGAGGACTCCAGCAATGGTTGTGGTGACATGGACACCATCTGTGACAGATATGGAGAAGTTGACAAAATGAAAAGGAGCTTGAAGCTGTGCTGGGAAGGAACTTGTGGTCTGCAATTGTCCACAGTGAGAAATTTGGAAATATTCTGCTCCAGTGTCATCAAGGCTGAACTCCAGTGTTGATCTGACAATGTCACTGGCCCTGATGCTGAAAATGGTCATATTTGGAGGTGATGAGTTCCTGACAGTCCCAAAGAAATGGTCTTCATTCAGAAACAAGGGGATTTCATCATTGGTGTCTGACAACTGAACATGTATAGGTAAAATCCAGGTAATGTCTGCTGTTATTGCAGTTAATGTAAGGTCATAGTTCTCCTTTAATTCAAAGTCTAATGAACCCTGCAGCACCAAGGCCTCTTCAGCCACCAGTCCAAATGTAGAGTCATTTCCAGAGAGGCTGCATGTTCCTTGTAGTAAGAATTCTGGACTGCAGATATTTGGCTGTATAACACTTCCATCTGGGGTGTCCTCGGGCACCTTGATATATAACTGATCTGCAGCAATGACAACCAGAAGTGATGCATGGGAGGTATAGACACCATCTGTGACCTGAGCTGTCAAATTGACCATGTGAATTAAACTGTTGGAAAAGTTCATAGATGACAAACTGAACACTTGACCATAGTTATTTATCAGGAAGTTCTCAGTGTCATTCCCAAGTAATTTGTATGTGATATTCTGCTCCTGGTCTGCATCCTCTGCTGTGAGGGTGGTAAGAAGGGTATACGGGTTAGTCTCCCTTGTAACAGTAACATTGTACTGCTGCTGAAGAAAGAGAGGTGGATTGTCATTGACATCAAGTACATGAACTGTGACAGTAATGTTCTTTTCAATGGTAGCAACAATGGCATTCAGTAATAATATGTAAGTATTCCTTGACTCAAAATCCAAATCTGAAACAATTTCAAGGTCACCTCTGTGTACTGCAAATGTCCCTGTTGGGTCAAGAATACTGCAGTTGGCATACTCATAAGCTGACATATTTCCACACAAGTTAGGAACCACAGTATTGCCCACTGTTTGGTTCTCTGGTATGTGGTACTCTAGATCCAATGCATACACAAGGACATGGACCATGGTCTCACTGAAATGGAGACCATCAGAAACACTCACTTTGCCTTCAATAACTTGAAGAGAATTTGGCATAAAATCCATCTCAATTTTTGTTTGCAATTGTCCACAGTCAGTCAACCAAAAATAGTAACTTCCTTCAGTGAGGTTATAGACCAGATTGGCACCGTCATCACCATCTTCTGCTTTTATCACAGCAATACTGGTGTTAGCTGGGCTTGCTCTTGGAACTGCTAGATAACATTCTCTCTGATCAAACACTGGAATGTGTTCATTCACATCCAGCACCTCTAACACAATTGGAACTGTAAGAACAGAGAAACCGCCATAGGAACAGTTCAGCAGCAGGTGATACTCTTGTATGGACTCATAATTCAAGTGATAGATCTCAAGTTCATAATTATTGACATAAAATACAGCACTGTCATTGACAAATGCAGAAAGAGAACTATCAACAATGGAAGTCCCATTTGAAGAAATATAATCTATAATTTGAAGACATTGGAGGTAAGAATGTTCTTCAATTTTCAGTCTTACTCTAACGTCCCTGATGACCAGTAGAACCTTGGATGTGAATTCCTGGGAGCCTTGTGAGGCAGTGACAAGGAGTTCATATACCTGCACAGCACATCCAAAGGGGCAAACATATGTATTAACAGGAATAACATCAGTTGTGTACAATTCCCCCTCTGATGTCACTCCTAGGAAATCCTGTGCAGAGTTGTTTCCATGTAAATGAAATCCTGTCACTGCAGGGGGGCTTCTATCTGCATCCATTACTGTGAACCTAAATATGGATGTTCCCACCTCAGTATCTGCAGATATCACAATCCAGTAGATAGGGACATTTACATCTGACATCCCTGTGGTAAAGTTTTCACCATAGGTTGTAGATTTGCTATAATACTGAAACATCACAGGATACTCATCAATGTCTTCTACCATCACTGTTATCTCCATTGTGGTCTCAACACAGTCTCTACTACTAATATCTTCAATGCTGCTTTTTGTCATACGAGCCTGGACCAATATCACATGTGTTTTCTGGACTTCATAATCAAGAGGTCTGGTCAGTATTATAGCTCTGCTTTCTGTGAGGTTAAAGGTTCCATTGCCATCACTGAGTAAGGTAAAGTCAAAGTCCTGTGTTGGGTTGGGTATTCCTCCAGTAAGTGTCAGGTTATATAACACTGAAAACAAAGAGGACACGGTAGTATGACTTGCATTTCGTAAAGGAAAATTTCTTCACAGAAATTCTTGAATAGGGGCCACCCCCTTCTTTCACCTTTATTTCAGTCATAACAGCGATTTAGCCATACAATAATACGCATGCAATTCTTACAACATATATATATATATATATATATATATATATATATATATATATATATATATATATATATATATATATATAACAAAACACTTATGTATAAAGCAAGAGAAGTTGAATGTTAAAAAATATCTGGCCCATTTTTGAGAATGAATTGCATCTTACCTCTGTTGAGTATTTCAGAAAGTTAAATTAAACCCTATATTATGTAAGCATGGCTGTAAACCCAGTTTTGCTGACAGCTAGAGGAATGAATTGCAGAATACAATTACTTTTCACTTTCAGATTACATAACTCTCATGATTTACAAACCAGCTAGTTATAACAGTGCTTATTCCATACCTGTCCCCACACTTGTGTTTTCTGGGATGCTCAGAGCATGTTTCCTGGTAACAAACTGAAGGGAAGATACTGGTACTGTAAAAATAAAGAATAGCAATAAGTTTACAATGTGTTATTCAGCTTAAAAAATATGTGCTTAAATTTCTTGGATATCTTAAAAAGCCTGTAATACATGTGTTACATCAGTAAACCTATCTTAACTTAACACATGAAAATTGGTATCTACATATTGATCTTCACATCAAACACCTTTCATTTCAAATTTTAAATCACATGTTAAGTACATCTGATAATGAAAAGCATGTTGTTATCAAATGTTCAACTACTGGTACACAATGTAACAGTATTATGTCCACACATATCATAATTATTGCAGTTTATGTCCTGGCATAAGTTTAAACCATTTCCATTTCTGCTTTAACTTGCTGAAAACAAAGGATGGCCATCTTCTTGTACTCACCTGTAGTTCTGGGAGAAGACATGGTTGTTGGTGCTGTTTTCACACTGGACATTGCAGCTGTTGTATCTAATGTGGGTGTTGTTGTCTTTACTGTAGATGTTGTATTCAATGTAGATGGTGTACTCACTGTAGATAGGATTGTCTGTACTGTAGATGTTGTCTGTACTGATGATGATGTTGTCTCTAGTGTAGATGGTGTATTCACTGTTGATGGGGTTGTCTGTACTGTAGATGTTGTTGTTGCCTCTACTGATGATGGCGTTGTCTCTTTTGTAGATGGTGTATTCACCGTAGATGGCGTTGTCCATACTGTAGATGTTGTTGTTGTCTCTACTGATGATGTTGTCTGTACTGTAGATAGTGCATTCACTGTAGATGGGGTTGTTTCAACAATTGTAGAAGATGTGATTTGTACTGTAGATGGTGTTTCAATGTAGATAATGTGTCTACTGTAGGCGTTGCTGGTTCTACCACAGATGATGTTGTCTCTAGTAAAGTTGTGTTGCTTTCTTCTGTATATAATGGTGTTGTACCCACTGTAGATGCTGTTGTCTGTACTGAAGAGGATGTAGATACTGTAGATGTAGCATTCACTGAAGATGTTATTGGTTCTACTGTAAATGTTGCTTTGAGTGTAGATATTGTGTCTGCTGTAGATGTTGCATTAACTATAGATAAGGTTGTCTCTACTATAGATGGTGTTGTTGCAAACATTGTAGATGATGTTGTTTTAACTGTAGATGGTGGCTTCAATGTTGACGATGTCTTTACTGTAGATGTTGTCTGTAGTATAGGTGATGTTGTCTCTGGTAAAGATGATGTCTCTGATGTAAGTGGTGTTGTCTTTATGGTAGATGTTTCTGGCTCAGTTGTAGACGTTGTTGCTATATCCACTGTAGATGATGTCTCTAATAAGGATGGTGTTTCCACTGCAGATGTTGCCTCTACTGCTGACGACGTCATATCTACAGTTGATGATGTTGTCTGTACTGTAAATGATGTTGTATCTATTGTAGATTTTGTTGTTTTCTGTACTGCTGATGATGTTGTCTGTACTGTAGAAGGTGTTGTCTGTATTGTGAATGTTGTATCTGTTGTTGATTTTGCTGTTGTCTCTTGTGTTGATAATGTCTCTACTGCTGGTGATACCAACTCTACTGTTGATGTTGTCTGTACTGTAGATGGTTTTGTATCTACTGTAGATGTTGTTGTTGCCTCTAGTGTTGATGATGTTGTCTCTATTACTGATGGTGTTGTTTCTACTTTAGATTTTGTTGTTGTCTCTTGTGTTGATGTTTCCACTGCCAGTGATGTCTTCTCTACTGTAGATGCTGTTGTCTGTTCTGTAGATGGTGTTGTATCTACAGTAGATTTTGTTGTTGTCTCTCCTATAGATGTTGCTGTCTCTTCTGTAGATGTTGTAGAAGCCTTAACTGTAGATTTTGTGGGCTCCATCATTGTTGTCTCAACTTTTGATGTTGTCTGTACTGTAGATGTCTCTACTGTAGATGGTGCTGTCTCTAATGTAGATGTCTCTACTGTAGATGGTTCTGTGTCAACTGTAGATGTCTCTACTGTAGAAGGTGCTGTGTCTCCTGCAGATGGTGCTGTGTCTACTGTAGATGTCTCTACTGTAGATGGTGCTGTCTCTAATGTAGATGTCTCTACTGTAGATGGTTCTGTGTCTACTGTAGATGTCTCTACTGTAGAAGGTGCTGTGTCTCCTGCAGATGGTGCTGTGTCTACTGTAGATGTCTCTACTGTAGATGGTGCTGTGTCTACTGTAGATGTCTCTACTGTAGATGGTGCTGTCTCTACTGTAGATGTCTTTACTGTAGATGGTTCTGTGTCAACTGTAGATGTCTCTACTGTAGAAGGTGCTGTGTCTCCTGCAGATGGTGCTGTGTCTACTGTAGATGTCTCTACTGTAGATGGTGCTGTGTCTACTGTAGATGTCTCTACTGCAGATGGTGCTGTGTCTACTGTAGATGTCTCTACTGCAGATGGTGCTGTGTCTACTGTAGATGTCTCTACTGCAGATGGTGCTGTGTCTACTGTAGATGTCTCTACTGTAGATGGTGCTGTGTCTACTATAGATGTCTTTACTGTAGATGATTCTGTGTCTACTGTAGATGTCTCTACTGTAGATGGTGCTGTCTCTACTGTAGATGTCTCTACTGCAGATGGTGCTGTGTCTACTGGAGATGCCTTTACTGTAGATGGTGCTGTGTCTACTGTAGATGTCTCTACTGCAGATGGTGCTGTGTCTACTGTAGATGTCTCTACTGCAGATGGTGCTGTGTCTACTGTAGATGTCTCTACTGCAGATGGTGCTGTGTCTACCGTAGATGATGCTGTCTCTACTATAGATGTTGTCTCTACTGCAGAAACCTTCACTGTAGATGTTGTAGACTCTACCATTGTTGCATTTACTCTTGGTTGTGTTGTCTCAACTGTTGATGATGTTATATTCGCTACATATGGGTCTATCACTAATGCAGATGTTGTTGTACTGTCTACTGCAGATGTTGTAGACTCTACCACTGCTGTCTCTACTGTAGGTGTTGTTGTATGTACTGATGTTTTTGATGTTGTTGATGTCATTTGCTCTGCTGAAGTTGTTGATGTTGATGCTGTTGAAAGTGACATTGCTGTCATTTCCCCTTCTGTTAGTACTGTAGATGATGGTGTGTTCAGGGCTGATGTTGTTGTAGCTGATCCTGATGTTGTCATATCCCCTTTTGTCTGTACTGTAGATGATGGTGTGTTCAGAGCTGATGTTGTTGTAGCTGATCCTGATGTTGTCATATCCCCTTCTGTCTGTACTGTAGATGATGGTGTGTTCAGAGCTGATGTTGTTGTAGCTGATCCTGATGTTATCATATCCCCTTCTGTCTGTACTGTAGATGATGGTGTGTTCAGGGCTGATGTTGTTGTAGCTGATCCTGATGTTATCATATCCCCTTCTGTCTGTACTGTAGATGATGGTGTGCTCAGAGCTGATGTTGTTGTAGCTGATCCTGATGTTGTAATATTCCCTGCTGTTAGTAATGTAGATGATGGTGTGTTCAGAGCTAATGTTGTTGTAGCTGATCCTGATGTTGTCATCTTTGTTGTCTCATTTTCTGATAAAACTGCAGGGGGTGTCTGTAGTGAAGATGCAGAAGACTTAGCTGACTCTGCAGGTTTTGATGGCTCCACTGTGGAAACTGGACTTACTGGAGATGCCACTGTGACAGTTGTTTCTACTGAGGTACCTGTAGATGTCTCTGTGGTATAGGGGGTAAGAGAAGATGGTTTTAATGAAGCAGACTGCTGTACTTTTGTAGATGACTGTGATGATGTAGATGACTGTGATGTTGCAGATGACTGTGATGATGTAGATGACTGTGATGATGTAGATGACTGTGATGTTGCAGGTGACTGTGATGATGTAGATAAATGTACTGGTGTAGGTGTTGTAACTGATAACTGATAGGACTCAGCTGTTACAGATGTTAATGTAGATATCGTGGTCAGTGAGGTATGTGAAGGTTGTGTTTCAGTTGGTTGAAGACTTCCCAGCCAGACTACACAGTAGATCCACACAGCAATGGAGTCTTTATGAACCATCTTTGATTTCTTCACTGCCACTGAAAAAAAATTTAGCACGACTTTTCAGTAAAATTTCAGTGAAAACAATATGACAAAGTAGGATATACAGTCATGCAAAATTTCTAACAAGAATTAAATCACATGAAGAAATGAACCTGTTTAGAAAAAATAAAAGGAGGTGCTCGAGATCAATAGTCAAAGTTTTCAAGTATGATGCATACATTAAACTGAAACAGACACAAAACTAGGCTAAGTATGAAATGCTGTAACACCAATATTTTATGTACAGCAGTTGACATAACAAACTCTGAGTTGAGCTATGAGTAACACAAGGTTCACTGTGATTTAAGTCCTGAAACATTTCTCTAATCAGCACATGACATGAAACATTTTTAATCAGCAAATGACAGCAGCTTTAGGCGACTTTCACATGGAAATCTTGTGTGCAATAAGTCACTTTTTCCAATTTGCTATTTGCAATGTCAAACCTGAGTAAATACAATCAAGTTTATTCAAACAGCATAATCTTTTTCTCTACCAAATGTGTGTGTGTGTGTGCATGTATGTTGGGAAAGAGAGGAATATAGCAATGCATGGTGATAGGACAACTTGCTTTATAAAGAGATGAAGGTTACTCATAACTGACATTTTGTCGGGAAATTCCAAAGAAATATAATTTTTGGTTACATTCACAAATCAGCCTTGTGCAAAATACCTTAACTTGTACCCTATCTTTATCTTCTGTCTGTTTACTGAACAGAGGCACAGGGTGTTGATAACCTTAAAGTAAGGCTTCACACGCTCTCCCCAATTGTCAGTGGATAAATTCTCATGTCTGTATGATGCAGTTTTTGGTTGTCTGAGATACTACATGTAGTAGCTAGTGCCCTAGTTTTGCTTTTATTTCTATAGCAATTATCTCTTCCATTTTTCAGGTTATTAGATAACTGTTGACGATCAGTTGCATGCACCTTAAAACAATTATGATGAATTAGTTTAAAAAATTTTATTTTACTTTGATGTTTACTCTACTGGACAATAGTAAAGTAATTCAGAAGTTTGGCAGTGTAGTTCTAGGATGAGCAAATAACCTTTACCGTAACCATGACAACGCTAGTCAGGTGATCACAGTGTCCATGTTGTTATCCTCCACCATCACAGATTTATCTGCCACAAATAAAATCCATTAACTTAAAGTTCATAGATGGCACTGTAATTTATAAATTGTGTGATAATAAAAATCTATGTGACAAGAGGCCAACCTTTTTCCTCTCCTGTGTTTTCTTCCACTACTGATACTTCCTCCTGATAAATCTGAAACATAAATTAATTAGTTTTCAGTTATAGTCACTACCAGACCTGGTCTAAGTTTAAATCATACCAAATTAAAGTATAGGCCTGAGAAACTTATCAGCAAACAATGTGTGCATTTATCATGTATCAAGAAAGCTAAAAGGGGGCACTTTCATATTTTTTTCCTTTTGGTTGTGCTCACAAACGGAGAAAATGTCCATCCAGCAAAAGCTCTTTTTCAAAACAAAGAAAAGGGTTATATGGAATTGGATGGAATTGGTTAATGTTGGCAACAAATAGTAATGCGAGTAACATACATTCTCTCTTTCACATTTTAACATAAAATTTATCTTTCAAAACTTCCTTATTTTTTTCATAAATGTGTTATTATTAAATACTTCTTATAAATACACTTACCTTTTAGTTATGAGTGTAAAAGTCTGTTTTGTTCCATTCACCTTAAACAGCAAACATATCTCAACACTGTGTAAACTTTGCGTTAAATTGGGTCTCTCACTGAAGGGGCATCGCAGGAATGATGGTTTGTGCACTTTTCAGATGATTAATTTGACGCTATCAGTAATCTCGGCAGGCTGACATAACTGCGAGATAGAAGGGTCTCTATGCCACAGCTGAGGAAACCATTGATATCTTGTGATCATATGTCACAGTTCAGGGACCAGAGATTCAGGGAGCAAACAGGCAACGTACTTCTTGTCCTCAGACTGTGCCCCCTGACTTCTGAGCAGAATATTAGCCCCAATCCTCTTCTTTGAGAGGAAAAAAAATGCACCATGCACCACATTACTGCAGACTTTATAAACTTCAAAATGCCACAAATAGCATGCACATAAATAAAATTAAAATTCAAGGGATCATGCCCCCCCATACAATGTATATACTAAATTTTGACACCTGATTCTCTTCACCCATACAGAGGACAATGACACCAAAGGTTTGCTGTGCAAATATCAAAACAACCAAGCCAACAGTTACTATACATGTCCATTCAAGGCTAAATTTTAGAACTTCCTAGTTGTGGTAGTCAGCACACATGGGGGTATGTTTACCACACTGCAGATAACATAGGAATACATATCAGCCAGTCTATCAACACTAGTTTATCGTCTTATTTCCTGATATAGGCCATGTTATAGTTTATAGTAACTAATAGTAGTCAGTTACTATGGATACAGACAAACATAGTTTAAGTATATAGTGTTCTCAAGTCACTGATATCTGGTATTCTTTATGTGGTCTTGTAACATAAACAAGTCTGACAAAAGGGACCCATAAGGTCACCTCCCATTGTATATCTCAGCACACACAGAAATAAAATCAGTGGTAGTAGTTTCTATTCTTCTTGAGATTTGTTCTGTATGATTCTCCTCATGATAGTAATTAATGTTCATTTAAAAAGAACCCTTGAAATTATTTCAGGCCACTGTAACTATAGTCTTTTTCCAATCTATTTTAGTCAAGATGGAAATGTTGGTTTAGAGGTTAGGACCAAAAACAAATTCTTACATGCCACTCTGAGATGGTGATGGTGTAGTAAGAGCAGGGCCTCTGCAGTCATAAAAGAATTGTTCAGTTAATTAGCAATGCTCAGACAGATCAAGAAAAAGGCTGAAACACTAACCCTCTTTTTTACCTCTCTTTCTACCTTCATTTTCCATGGTTCAGAATCACAATACTACAATGAAATCCTAGGCAGCTAACTTTTCCTCTTTCTTTCAGTTGCAATGTCTGGGTCTGGGAAAACCTCTTGGCTTTCCTTTCTTTGGTGCAAGGTCCCCCTCTGCCTCCATGTAATTACCCCTTGTAGCATTGTTTGTGCATTTGATCTATTCATGTATGTACAATGTACCACTACGGGTTTCTTTTCTTTAGTTTTCAGTAAAAAATATGTCAACAGGGTATTCTCAAATACACATGGTTGATTTAAGCCCCCCCCCCCCCCTCCCTTTACACACACATTTTTTCAAGAACAGATTTTCCTTCTAGCTGGAACTCTACAACAATTATCAATGCTGTCTCAACTCTCTGTTGGGTGGCATAATTCTTTCGCGTTAAGTGCAGAAAAATTATCATCATAAAACTAGACAAAAAAAAAAAAAAAGACCCAGCTGTGAAATAAGTAATGAAATGCCAGACTAAGACTTATGGAATGGACAATTTTATTTACCAAGAAAAAACTAATGTTGTATTAAAGCAAGATATACTTCCCTTCATATTAACGGATTTTCATAAGAAAAGACAGTGTTATATTTTGTTTTTGTTACTTGGGACATAAATGTAACAACAAAGTAAAAAATCAGACGTAACTGTGAATACTCCCAAATATCAACTGGATTTCAAAACGCATCAGAATTAACTAATGATACTTATTCTGAATTTTAGGTCATTTGAATTACGCGCGGTAATTTTTTAAAAGCGATATTCGACTTTATAGATAAATTCCATTATGACCTGATAAACACTGATACAAAAAAAAAAAAAAAAAAAAAAAAACATATCCAGAACTGAAATGACATTAAATTAAAACATTCGAGTCTTTTGCAGGTCCTTTTTCGCGGTCTTCGGAGTTGACCTACAGTAGAAGCCACAAGTTTCTGCATGGTTTAAACTTAAGTTGAACAAAATATCAAACAAATTAGACACTGCTGCAGCACAAAAGTTTCATTTGGGGAAAATAATGCCTTCTGCTCATGTCTGATTTCTCTCCGTTTCAGTGTACACCTCATTGTCAGGTAACTTTACGCTAGAAATCCTACAGCACACTTTTCGCAGTTTCTTTGAGTGTTGCGGCAACTCGCTTGTACGCGCGTACACTGCCGATATTGATAATTATAAAATATCCATGACTATTTGATTGTTAGAAAATATTTAGAAATTTAATGCTTATTTAAAAATAATAAATCTTTTAAACTTAGACCTTTCTACAAATATGCAGAGGAGTTAATAAGTTACAATGAAAAAGAGACGACTTTGCAGCTTGCAGTCATAAAATCCGGTCAAGGTCATCAAGATGGAGGAGAATCTCTTCGGCCGGCTTGACCAAGATGGTAATATTTTTATTTTGACTATTTAAGCATTTTCTTTTAAGTTAAATAAAGAGTGCTGTATACGCATATGCTTTCCTTTTTATGATTCAATAAATGCAATTTAAATGGCTGCGTTTGAAATAATTAGTCGCAGATAAATCCTTGCCAGCGTGTCACATCTTTTGAACTTGCTGAACTTCATTAGAACACTAGGGGCGTTTATTAAAAAAAATCACACGTTTATTAAAAAATATTGAATACTTTCTCTTTTATTTATTTCCGTCGGATTTGTGTGTTTGTCAATAACAAGTCTTAAGTTCAAGGCATTACTGTTTTGTTTTCATTTACCAAAACTTATACCCTTTGGTTTTCCTTCTTTTTGTGCCCCAGATTCTTTCAAGGAATTCCTGCATGAACAATTTGATGTGAAGACGTATGCCAACCAGGCTATACAAGCAGGAGTGGGAATAACACAACAGCTGGGAAAGTTGGCAGAGGGAATAAGTCTGCTCGATAGAGAACTACATTCACAGGTATATACACTAGGTCTCTAGATGCATTTCTTCTTTTCTTTACCTCAGAATATATATGTATATAAATTTCAATATCAGTGACTTTCATAGTAACCTCACTTTTCCCTGTCTCCCTCTGCACTTCTTGTATGCCTCAGCATTAATGACTCACAATCATATTACGCACACACACATACTAGTACATGTACACACATGCAAGCACACGCCACTTTAGCTCAAATTATGTATGTTTTATGTGTCAGGTTGTGGCTCACCATGAAGACTTGTTATCTCAAGCAACAGGAGTTGAGACTTTGGAAGGTAAAAAAATGTATTTCTATGTAATGTGCTTCTTGTAAATTATTGGTAAAATAAGGTAATGAGAAAATTAACCAAAAGAAGACCTTGTGATAAGGTTGAAATGTCTCAGTCCAGTATTTGATTTAATTTTCTCATTATCTTAGTATAAATTATATATTAACTGGATGAATCTAAACATTTGCTTTCATGTTTTTTGTATTATGTTATTTGGGTACTTGGTAAGAAGTATGAAGAGTGAATTGTCCCTGTATTGTAAAGATGATACAGTGCTTGATTACGAACTAAATAAAATGCTTTAGGAGGTGAAATAATAAAATCAATATACTTATGAAAGAGATCCAACTCCCAAAACTATTAAGCATAAGAAATATTATTCTTTTTANGAAAAAACTAAAAAAAAAAAAAAAAAAAAAAAAAAAAAAAAAAAAAAAAACATATCCAGAACTGAAATGACATTAAATTAAAACAATCGAGTCTTTTGCAGGTCCTTTTTCGCGGTCCTCGGAGTTGACCTACAGTACAGTAGAAGCCACAACGCACAAGTTTCTGCATGGTTTAAAACTTAAGTTGAACAAAATATCAAACAAATTAGACACTGCTGCAGCACAAAAGTTTCATTTGGGGAAAATAATGCCTTCTGCTCATGTCTGATTTCTCTCCGTTTCAGTGTACACCTCAATGTCAGGTAACTTTACGCTAGAAATCCTACAGCACACTTTTCGCATAGTCTAGTGGGATTTCCACAAAAGATGAATAGTAGGGGCATTTTGGGGTAAAAGTTGGGAACCAGGTTTATTAGCATAATTTTGGGATGCTGAATCCGATTTACCCGGTTCCCAAGCGAAATTTTGCGTTTTTAACGGTCTAATTTGCAAAAAACAAAATGGCCGCCAGATTTCCTATTTTCTGCAATATCTCTGGAACTAGACAGGCAAATATGACAAATGAAGTGTCTTTACCTATATTTTCAGGGTCGAGGAACATTATTAAGATGTTTCTGTTAAAATCAGATTTACGTAATTTTCCTAAATATGCAAATTGGGATCGCCATTACTGAAAAACCGTTTTACTTCTGTATCTCTGTAACTAGGCAAGCAAATATGACAAAAGAAGTGTCTACACCTATGTTCTCAGGGTCAGGGAATGTGATAAATCAGATGTCTTGTCTGATGGGTAGCACTAACTTTGTGAATCGTGCCCGAGTTTCACCTTTATTGTTTCTTCCCTGTATCCGTCAAACACAAGTCAATCTGCTGATAGTTAGAACCTGTCTTCAGAACTGCTCATATGTTAACTAGGCAAGCAGACATGACATATGAAGTGCCCACACCTATGTTTTCAGCGTTAGGGAAAGTGGTTAAGACATTTTCACTATAATCAAATCAGCAATGAGTGCTACACTGTCACACTGTAGCAATTATTCGAATCTGAATTGAATTTTGCAATTAAACACTGCGCTGCCATTGGGATGTAAACATATTGGATCACACAACTGCCCCTTTTACCTAGATTTAAAAAAGATTACCTTATTTATGCAATGGAGGGATTTGCTGAATCAAGTAATTCATGTGATGCAATGTACGGACTTGACATTTAAATGGATTTTTTTCAAACATATTTTCTTTGATTTTTTCCCATATATAAGTAATGGATGAAAAAACACTTGTTATCATGTTCGATATGGCTTTAATAAATCAATCCATGTGAATACATCATCAAAAATTTAATTTAAAAACGCGTATTCAAATCAGCGTTATAAACAGCGCACGGATAATTTTATAGCTGATAACAACAAAGTATTAAATACTTATGAACTCGATATTATCAAGAATATCAGTTGGTAAGGATTTTCTCTTACACAACAGAATCATCAAGACAAATGTGAAAAATGGGAACTGATAAGAACGCATGCAGCCTCTTCTAGCTGCAACCAGAGCCCTCACTCGGCCAGGGATCCATGCAGAGAGGTTTCTGAGAGTTTGATCCAGTAATTGTGTTACACGCATTAGTCAGAGCTTGCCTAAGCTTGTGCCGAGTTGTAGGCTGGACGGGTTAGCTCTTGATTCTGCTAGCGATTTATGCCCACAGGTTTTCTATAGAATTCATGTCAGGGGAATTCCGTCAGCCAAGGCAACTGGTTTACCTCTTGGTTTTGCAGAAAAGCAGCCATTGCATGGGCACGGTGTACATGTGGTCGGGCATTGTCATCTTGCAGGATGAAGTTGTCCTGGAAGCACCTTCTTGCAAATTGCAAGCAAGTATTCTCTAAAATGTCCTTTTATTTTATCTGGTTGAGGTTTCCATCAATTGCCACCAATAGTGTTTTGGCTCCAGTGTGGAAACCGGCCCATACACAGATACTGCCACGGCCACAAGTCACTAGTGTGACACAATCCTCGTGCAGTAACTCGTCTGGAAGCCTACTGACTGATTTAGCCATCACGGTGGTGGAACTCAAACCCTGCCTCATCTGTAAAAATCTACATGAACCCAGTGCTGTGCCTGGAACCGCAAATGGTGTCTAGCCCACCCCAGACGCAGATGTTGGTGTTGCTCTGTTAATAGAGGTAGCCAACTAAAAGTAGCCTTGCATTCACTAGAGTTCTAGAAACATACNATGAGGAGGGTGGGATGTGCCCTCCGGAGGAAAAACTTTCATTATTTCATGCAAAAAGGGTACAATCCCATGCAATCTGAAGCTGTCATTAAATCGTTACGACATAGCCCACTTGCAGGACCAAATTTTGTGGGAAAATCAGGGCTAGACACTAACTTTTATGAGCACCTGTCCGAATTTCAATCCAACCTGTCCAACAAAACTAATATTTTTTCCATTCATACCATTGAACTTTGTAAATAAATATGTGTAGTCATACATTTAATGCATTTATTGCCAAGACATTAAAGTACACGTACACACAAGCCGGAAAATGCACCTTAAAGTGGATTTATTTTCAGATAAAAAATTGTTTTTTCATACTTGTGAACTCCTGAAGATTTAATCTTGCATATAAGTCTGATTTAACATTATAAAGTTTCAATCAGGGCTTCTCCTAGGATTTTGGGTACAGGGTCTGCTAATTGTAAATCTGCAATTTGATAACAAATTCACATGAAGTTTAACCAAAGCAAAATATAAATACCCTGAGTGGCAGGTGGGGAGGGGGTACTGTTAGATTAATTTTAATAAAATATTCAAAAGTTCAATGAAAAATTAAAGAATATTCATCTTATAATACTTTACTTATATTTATGTTAACAATTTAAATTTTTAGGGGTTATCTTGTGTTTGATTTTCTTAAATATATGAGTTAAATAAAATCAGTATAAAAAAGTTCCCCTTTTTATTTAAATTCTCATATTTGTTATTACTAATTTCTTCCTTACATCAATACCACACTGGTATATGACAGCAATGTTAATTTTTAACTGTAAATAATATAGGTGATGATAAAGTCATTAAAGAAAACATCATACAAAATTTCAGGTTATATTTTGGCAAATAAACAATATTTCAACAAGATCTTCAGTCCCAAAGATTTCACGTTCTGTAGTGAGTAGATAGCATACAACGTATTTGATTGACAGGCAGTATGTTGCCTGGACAACGAACTAGATATAGCCAGTTCATCTAGTCCAATCTGGCTTTGTAAGAAGCATAGTACTTGTGTTGTTTCTGTAACGGTCTTTCTCTCTAGAGCACGTAGATTTTTAACCAAATAAATATTCAGTAGTGAGCCTGTTATGTGAATAAATTTTGTCTGATGAAGTTCTGGAGGGTGTTCACTTTCATAACTTGGCGGTAAGTTTGCTCAGACTTCGTTTTGTGACTGCACGTGTTTTGTGCCAAAAGTAGGTCATTCTTTTCAGTACCGTGTAGGAGGAGACAAAAAGACGTTAGTATGCATTAAAAATGATTTTTTAAAAGATTTTTGCTCCAAATTTCTCATAAACCATGACCTGTCTGTCGGACAGCCAACCCTGCAACTTCACCTGTCCGAGCTGAATTTTTACCTGTCCCGGACAGGCGCTAATGTATTAAATAGCGTTGCATCTTTTCTGACATTTTCTCTTGCCGCATGGATACATTTATTTATAAATGATCACGACTGCTACTATTCTTCAGTCAAAATAACATGAAGGATTGACTATTTATTATATTTCTCCAAAAATATAGATAAAGCAAACAAATCTCACAGAATTACATTGATGACGAAACTAATAAGCGGATGTTGATATTCGAAACTTGTCAGTACGCAGGTCCCGCGCCCTCAACATAAGATGTTATACTTGTATTACTGCGCCAGGCAGAATAAAAATAAACAACTTAACGTGCACACAAGAGATCCAAGTACGCACACAGTCGTTTTTATTTTACGGTTTATGTCGCGACTGTCAGGAATAAAGACATTAAAGGCATTGGTCACACACACACTCTTAAAGGGTATCGGAGTTCAAAGAAGCGTATCGGCAAAAAAAAAGAAGCGTATCGGCAAAAAAAAAAGAAGCGTATCGGCAAAAAAAATAGCGTATCGGGGCCGATACGCTATAAAGGCCTGGGGAGAACCCTGTGTTATCAAGTGTATTGCGCTGTGTTGCGCTGTATTGCAGTGTATTACGCATTTCAGTCACATCCGTTTTATGTGTCAGGTTGTGGCTCACCATGAAGACTTGTTATCTCAAGCAACAGGAGTTGAGACTTTGGAAGGTAAAAAATATATTTCTATGTAGTGTGCTTTCTGTAAATTATTGGTAAAATAAGATAATAAGAAAATTAACCAAAAGAAGACCTTGTGATAAGGTTGAAATGTCTCAGTCCAGTATTTGATTTAATTTTCTCATTATCTTAGTATAAATTATATATTAACTGGATGAATCTAAACATTTGCTTTCATATCTTTGGTATTATTTGGGTACATGGTAAGAAGTATGAAGAGTGAATTGTCCCTGTATTGTATAGATGATACATTGCTTGATTATGAACTAAATAAAATGCTTTAGGAGGTGTAATAATATAATTAATATTCTAATGAAAGAGATCCAACTCCCAAATATATAAAATGTAAAAAATATTCTTCTTTTATAGGAGTTTTGCAGATGATGCAGACACGGATTCAATCCCTGCTTTCTGCTGTAGAGAGGTATGTGGTTTTCTACTGTAGAGAGGTACGTGGTTTTCTACTGTAGAGAGGTATGTGGTTTTCTGCTGTAGAGAGGTATGTGGTTTTCTGCTGTAGAGAGGTATGTGGTTTTCTACTGTAGAGAGGTATGTGGTTTTCTACTGTAGAGAGATATGTGGTTTTCTACTGTAGAGAGATATGTGGTTTTCTACTGTAGAGAGGTATGTGGTTTTCTACTGTAGAGAGGTATGTGGTTTTCTACTGTAGAGAGATATGTGGTTTTCTACTGTAGAGAGGTATGTTGTTTTCTACTGTAGAGAGGTATGTGGTTTTTAAGAACAACCAGGTAGCTGAATTTATTTAGAACAGGTTGCAAGGTTAAAAATGTTTAGGCAATCTATGAGCAGAGTACTTGAACCATATAATGAGAATATTACCAGCTACAACTAAGCCAGATAAATGCTTGCAAACATATCCCATGCTAACACATTGTGTACGTGTAAGAAACTGGTACAGTTTTAATGAACAAAAGTTCGTCAAAATCTTTTTTTATCTTTCTACAGGATACGGGGCAAGGTGGTGGAACCATACACTAAAATCATCACTAGGACGTCACAGTTGCGGAGACTACAGGAGACGTGTGATTTACTGCGCAGGATCATCAGAATTTTGTATCTGAGTAAACGTCTGCATGGTCAGCTGCAAGGAGGTGCCAGAGAAATTACCAAGGCAGCACAGAGCCTCAATGAATTAGGTACAAAGCAGTTATTTAATATTTGCTTTTTTCTATAACAATTACTAGGATTTGTAGGTTTGCAGTTAAGCTGGCAGAGTTAAATGCCTTTTTGCCTGAATCTGACATTCTTATTTTAAGTTGAAAAGAAATACTTCCAATGCTGACTATAAACTAACAGGTAAAGAGTCACTTGGTTCATCTGGTCATAGTCTGAAAGTCAGGAATACAACATTATAAAGAAATGTGATTCACATCCCATATATACAGATTATCTCTCTGAGGGTGTAGATCTGCCAGTATTAAAGTGCCTGTTTTCTCCCAGATTCTCTGAGCTGGTAGATCTGCCCAATATTAAAGTGCCTGTTTTCTCCTTGATTATCTCTCTGAGGGTGTAGATCTGTCCAATATTAAAGTCCCTGTTTTCTCCTAGATTATCTCTCTGAGGGTGTAGATCTGTCTAATATTAAAGTGCCTGTTTTCTCCTAGATTATCTCTCTGAGGGTGTAGATCTGTCTAATATTAAAGTGCCTGTTTTCTCCTAGATTATCTCTCTGAGGGTGTAGATCTGTCCAGTATTAAAGTGCCTGTTTTCTCCTAGATTATCTCTCTGAGGGTGTAGATCTCTCTGGCATAGATGTGGTGGAGTCTGACAGGAGGTTTATCAAGCAAGCCAGGAAGGAAGTGGAGGCGCAAGCTCAGAAGATGTTAGAGCAGGGAATGGAGACACAGGTAACCTATGGGTGTTGTCTTAACACTGTTATTTTCAAATTAAATACACTTGATAACAACTTTTTTGAAAAACTAGATAACAACTTCATTATAACTTTGCCAGCTTGACTACAACAACAACAACATGAAATTGAAATGAAAGAAATGAAACAAACATTTTAATAATGATCTGCTGACCACCTTACACTCAAGCCGGAGAGTTCATGTTGAACTTTTTTCTGTCAATCACTTGTCAAAATAGCATGTGCTACAATGTAATGCTACATTTGTGCTTTATGACCAAGTTATTATAAGCCACACCCTACTACTCGTCTGTTACACAGGGGATGAAATGACTTACAGTGGGATACAGATTTACCTGTTTTGATGTACAAAGAAGATGTTGAAAAGTAATTAATTTTCACCAATATAAAATAAAAATGAGACAAGTGAGAGATATTGGAGCAGTGGTTTCTACTTGTATAAGATTTTTCTGTTCACAAGGAATCCTGGATAAAGTAAATACCTACTACATTTTCTTCTTTAGTAATTGGCCAAGAGTATTAATTTAAATGTAAATAAAAAGAAATTGTTGCTATGTTTACAGAACCAGACCCAGGTAGCTACTAGTTTACAGGTGTTCCATAATCTTGGTTCTCTGCACCACACGGTTACCAAGGTGATAGAGGATTGTAAGATGAACCTGCAGAACAACATCAAGATGGCAGTGGATGTCAGCGCTCTGTCGNGACAACCAGGTAGCTGAATTTATTTAGAACACATTGCAAGGTTAAAAATGTTTAGGCAATCTATGGGCAGAGTACTTGAACCATGTAATGAGAATATTACCAGCTACAACAAAGTCAGATAAATGCTTGCAAACATATCCCATGCTAACACATTGTGTACGTGAAAGAAATTGGTACAGTTTTAATGAAAAAAAGTACATCAAAATCTTTTTTCTCTTTCTACAGGATACGGGGCAAGGTGGTGGAACCATACACTAAAATCATCACTAGGACATCACAGTTGCGGAGACTACAGGAGACATGTGATTTACTGCGCAGGATCATCAGAATTTTGTACCTGAGTAAACGGCTGCATGGTCAACTACAAGGAGGTGCCAGAGAAATCACCAAGGCAGCACAAAGCCTCAATGAGTTAGGTACAAACCAGTTATTTATTTAATATTTGCTTTTTTCTATAACAATTGCTAGGATTTATAGGTTTGCAGTTAAACTGGCAGAGTTAAATGCCTTGTTGCCTGAATCTGACATATTCATGGTGCAAATTTTGAAGTTAAAAATTAACCCTCATCCACCTTTCAGGGGCCTCGCAGGCCCGGACCCATGTATCTTTTGCTCTCTCTTCGTTCGCATGAGGTTTTGAGCCTGTACCTTTCATGTAATCCTCAAGCAACTTATACCCCATCAGTGGATAAATAATTAGTTTTGAAATAATTTACTTTTGGAAAAGTTAGTCCCATGTCCTGGAAACCGGGCCTCTGAGGCCCGGTGTAACATGAAAATCTGACTCCCCCCATGAAAATTTGACTCCCCCTCCACAAAACTTCATAAATCTTATTTTATTTGAGTATATGACTGTGATCTTGTAGTATGTAAAATGGAGGATACATTGGCACTTTTTTAGTTTGCAGGTGAATATTTTCATGAAAAAATAAGAAAATTAAAAATGTGCACTTAACCGCCCATTGCCTCCCCTATGAAAAAGCTATTTATTTGATATTGGATGATCATTTCTACACCTTTCCTTTAAATTTACTTTATGAAGATTATATTGGAAATATTTGTAAGTTTGATGGTGGACTATTGGGTGAAGAAAACTAAAAAAAAACATGAAAAATAAGAAAATTAAAAAAAATGTGCATTTTATCACCCAATAACTCCCCTATGAAAAAGCTATCTATTTAATATATGATGATAATTTCAACACCTTTCCTTAACTTTTACTTTATGAAGATTATATTAGAAATATTTGAAAGTTTTACTGTAAAATATTGGGTGAAAAAACTAAAAAACATGAAAAATAAGAAAATTAAAAATGTGCATTTTATCACCCAAAAACTCCCCTTTGAAAAAGCTATCTATTTAATAATTGATGATCATTTCAACACCTTCCCTTTTAGGATACTTTATTAAAAATATATTGGAAATATTTAAAAGTTTGATGATAAAATAGTGAGTGAAAGAATGAAAAAGAAATCATGAAAATCTTCATTTTTATACCCATGAGATTTGGACTCCCATGAAAAAAAGGACCTATTTTATATTCGGTCACCATACCATTGTTTTCCACATAGTTTGCACAGAGCTAACAGGTTAAAGTCACACAGTTCATTTGGTCATTGTCTGAAAGTCAAAAATACAACATTATAAAGAAATGTGATTCACATTCCATATTAAATATACAGATTACCTCTCTGGGGTGTAGATCTGTCCAGTATTAAAGTGCCTGTTTTCTCCCAGATTCTCTCTGAGCTGGTAGATCTGCTAGTATTAAAGTGGCTGTTTTCTCCCAGATTCTCTCTGAGCTGGTTGATCTGTCCAATATTTAAGTGCCTGTTTTCTCCTAGATTATCTCTCTGAGCTGGTAGATCTGTCCAATATTAAAGTGCCTGTTTTCTCCTAGATTATCTCTCTGAGGGTGTAGATCTCTCTGGCATAGATGTAGTAGAGTCTGACAGGAGGTTTATCAAGCAAGCCAGGAAGGAAGTGGAGGCTCAGGCTCAGAAGATGTTAGAGCAGGGAATGGAGACACAGGTAACCTATGGGTGTTGTCTTAACACTGTTACTTTCAAGTTAAATACACTTGATGACGGCTTGATAACAACTTTTTTGAAAAACTAGATAACAACTTCATTATAACTTTGACAACTTGACTACAACAACAAGAAATTGAAATGAAAGAAATGAAACAAAACTTTTAATAATGATCTGCTGACCACCTTACACTCAAGCAGGAGAGTTCATGTTGAACTTTTTTCTGTCAATCACTTGTCAAAATAGTATGTGCTACAATGTAATGGTACATTTGTGCTTTATGGCCAAGTTATTATAAGCCACACCCTACTACTCGTCAGTTACACAGGGGATGAAATGACTTACAGTGGGATACAGATTTACCTGTTTTGATGTACAAAGAAGATGTTGAAAAGTAATTAATTTTCACCAATATAAAATAAAAATGAGACAAGTGAGAGATATTGGAGCAGTGGTTTCTACTTGTATAAGATTTTTCTGTTCACAAGGAATCCTGGATAAAGTAAATACCTACTACATTTTCTTCTTTAGTAATTGGCCAATAGCATTAATTTAAATGAAAATAAACAGAAATTGTTGCTATGTTTACAGAACCAGACCCAGGTAGCTACTAGTTTACAGGTGTTCCAAGAGTATTAATTTAAATGTAAATAAACAGAAATTGTTGCTATGTTTACAGAACCAGACCCAGGTAGCTACTAGTTTACAAGTGTTCCATAATCTTGGTTCTCTACACCACACAGTTACCAAGGTGATAGAGGATTGTAAGATGAACCTGCAGAACAACATCAAGATGGCAGTGGATGTCAGCGCTCTGTCACAGCAACAGACACATGGAAAAGGTCAGGGCCTCTTACAGGAATATGATATATATGATATGATTGTTCTGACTGTTGGCAGATTTCCAACTTTGCTAAGTGACTTTAAGTGACATATCCATGTTCAGGGTTTACTTATGGACTGTATGTGATATTGACTGTATATTGTTATATATCCAGCTGGAGGGCCTGGTAAAGCAGCTATCCCTGCCACAGGAAACACAGCCATGTTCAGGGCCAATCTGTGGACAAACATGGAGAAGTTGATGGACAATATATACTCAGCTTGTGCCCAGGTCAGTTTGACATAGTGACAGGGTGTTTAATAATATGGTTTATTTCAGTCTGTGGTATGTTAAAAGTAAAATATTATATTATATTATGCTTCAGACTGCTTCTAAATTAATGGATTTTCTGGTTTGTGTTTAACTTGGATTTTTCCTTGGTAGTTAAAAAGAGATATTTTTTAATTCTAGGTGCAGCATTTACAGAAAGTTCTTGTAAAGAAGAAGGACCCTGTGACGCATGTCTGCTTTATTGATGAGCTATCAAAGGTAATACACCTTATATCTCTATATGATATATGTCTGCTTTATTGAAAAGTTAGCAAAGGTGATACACCTTATATCTCTGTATTGTTGTGATGGATTTTACTGGAGTTACATGGTCAGTTTCTTAACAGCCAGCTGTTTAAGCCCAGTATTTCATATTTTGATAATTGCATTTTAATTTTGACTACATAGTGAATAAAATGTATGGTGAGTTTATATTTGAATTCATCAGTATGACTGTATGACATATTTCCTATGAAGGTCCAGTGACTATAATACAGTTATATCAATATGACTGTAATGTTATACAAGCAAATGTGATATATTTTCCAGGAAGGTCCAGTCAATATGATACAGTATATCAATATGACTATATGTAATACTAAAGTATGTAATATATATTCCAGGAAGGTCCAGTCAATATAATGCAGTCGTTCTGGGTCATGGTGACCTGTATGCTGAAAGAAGAATTCACCAGTGCCTCAAATGGTGGGTTAAATATTGTGATACAAATCTGATAATACACACCCTTTACTTTTTTGTATTTTATAAAATGATATGTGAAACCGTCTTAAGTAAGATTCAAAAATAATTTGTACATAAGTAAAACATTAATGAAGCTAACATGCTGGCTTTGCAACAGTTGTTATATTTTACTAATTGACTGCTGTCTGGACAATGTGACAGGTGTCCTGTAAATCAATTCTCACCTGCCCCCACCCCTCCCCTGCCCCTGTTCATTATTGGATGTTGGATCTTGGATTCTGAAAAATATGCACAGTCATTAACATCAGGAGACTCTTATTGAAAAGCAATGTGATGTAAAAAGTTTTATTTTTTCAACATCTGCACTGCTGAATCTGGCCTTTGAAGGAAAGTGCCTAAAATAACTAATTACTTAAATAAATTGATTTGTAAAAAAGGGTAGCTCAGTACTTTAATCTTTTGTTCACAGTAGTGACTGGTGTTTTTTATCTTAATTCTTCTGTCAGCCTCCACCTTCCTAAAGCAGGCATTTGAAGGGGAGTATCCTAAACTCCTGCGACTGTACAATGAGCTGTGGAAGAGGCTCCAGCAGTTCAGCGCTAATATGAATGTGACCAGCAGCGCACCTGACGTCCCCATGAGGACAGCGCTAGAGGAAGATATGTTCAGTGAGAAGGCGAAGGAAGAGACTGAATTCAAGTAGGCTGCTCTGACAGCATTCTAGTAATACTGTGTTTTAGGCTAAAACGCTGATAATATTTCTAAACCAAATCAAAGCATTGAAAATAAGGTTCCATGTTATTTTCGTCTGCCATTGCAAAGTGTTTTAGGCACCAGGAAGTATTCAATGTCATGTTAACTATGGATGTATTTAATACTGTTAGTACTGTCATAATTATTTTTTATATTTGAAAACAAGTTTTTTCCATTATGCTGTATAGCTGTGTGTACAATGCCTTAATTACTAATGCCCATGACTCAAAAGTCTCTCTGTACCTTTACACCAATGTTTGACAAGTGACTAGGTTCATATTAATATCTGTTATCATTGTGTCAGTCCTGAGCACTCCCTGAGGGAGTCGCTGTCGACCTTTGAGACGGCCTACATCTCAAGATCACTTTCACGGCTGTTTGATCCCATCAACCTGGTCTTCTCTGGCAGCACTTTCTACCCTCCCACTGCTGAAGAAGTGGACAGCATCGTCAAAACTATATCAAGGTTATTGCAGCAAATTATTTTTAGTTTAGTCTAGCATTTGTTTGTGAATGATTTTACTAGATTCTGCCACAAGACATTTTTGTCAATATTGGTATGTGATATATATAAGTGCAAAATGGCAAGTCTCGAGTAGCTTTGTGTCTGGAAACTTAAAAGAAGAAAACAAGTTCAAAGCTAGGAGAAATGAAATGAAGTTCTTGTTCCAGTGAGTTAAATGTGGCCAGTGTGGACAATGGACTGAGTGTTACCATAGCAAGGAATGTGGCCAAAACTGTCAAGTTGTTTGCCGTGAAATGTGAACAGCTGGTATGTGCACACTCTCTCTGTCTCTCTCTCTCTCACACACACACACATGCACACACACACACACACACACACACACACTGGTATCCAGATTTTGTTCATGAAATCAAAGCAGACTACATTGATTTTGTTCTATGTTATCTANGTTATATATATATTCCAGGAAGGTCCAGTCAATATAATGCAGTCGTTCTGGGTCATGGTGACCTGTATGCTGAAAGAAGAATTCACCAGTGCCTCAAATGGTGGGTTAAATATTGTGATACAAATCTGATAATACACATCCTTTACTTTTTTGTATTTTATAAAATGATATGTGAAACAGTCTTAAGTAAGATTCAAAAATAATTTGTACATAAGTAAAACATTAATGAAGCTAACATGCTGGCTTTGCAACAGTTGTTATATTTTACTAATTGACTGCTGTCTGGACAATGTGACAGGTGTCCTGTAAATCAATTCTCACCTGCCCCCACCCCTCCCCTGCCCCTGTTCATTATTGGATGTTTGATCTTGGATTCTGAAAAATATGCACAGTCATTAACATCAGGAGACTCTTATTGAAAAGCAATGTGATGTAAAAAGTTTTATTTTTTCAACATCTGCACTGCTGAATCTGGCCTTTGAAGGAAAGTGCCTAAAATAACTAATTACTTAAATAAATTGATTTGTAAAAAAGGGTAGCTCAGTACTTAAATCTTTTGTTCACAGTAGTGACTGGTGTTTTTTATCTTAATTCTTCTGTCAGCCTCCACCTTCCTAAAGCAGGCATTTGAAGGGGAGTATCCTAAACTCCTGCGACTGTACAATGAGCTGTGGAAGAGGCTCCAGCAGTTCAGCGCTAATATGAATGTGACCAGCAGCGCACCTGACGTCCCCATGAGGACAGCGCTAGAGGAAGATATGTTCAGTGAGAAGGCGAAGGAAGAGACTGAATTCAAGTAGGCTGCTCTGACAGCATTCTAGTAATACTGTGTTTTAGGCTAAAACGCTGATAATATTTCTAAACCAAATCAAACCATTGAAAATAAGGTTCCATGTTATTTTCGTCTGCCATTGCGAAGTGTTTTAGGCACCAGGAAGTATTCAATGTCATGTTAACTATGGATGTATTAAATACTGTTAGTACTGTCATAATTATTTTTTATATTTGAAAACAAGTTTTTTCCATTATGCTGTATAGCTGTGTGTACAATGCCTTAATTACTAATGCCCATGACAGACTTTCTCTGTACCTTTACACCAATGTTTGACAAGTGACTAGGTTTATATTAATATCTGTTATCATTGTGTCAGTCCTGAGCACGCCCTGAGGGAGTCGCTGTCGACCTTTGAGACCGCCTACATCTCAAGATCACTTTCACGGCTGTTTGATCCCATCAACCTGGTCTTCTCTGGCAGCACTTTCTACCCTCCCACTGCTGAAGAAGTGGACAGCATCGTCAAAACTATATCAAGGTTATTGCAGAAAAATTATTTTTAGTTTAGTCTAGCATTTGTTTGTGAATGATTTTACTAGATTCAGCCACAAGACATTTTTGTCAATATTGGTATGTGATATATATATATATATATAAGTGCAAAATGGCTAGTCTCGAGTAGCTTTGTGTCTGGAAATTTAAAAGAAGAAAACAAGTTCAAAGCTAGGAGAAATGAAATGAGTTTTTTGTTCCAGTGAGTTAAATGTGGCCAGTGTGGACAATGGACTGAGTGTTACCATAGCAAGGAATGTGGCCAAAACTGTCAAGTTGTTTGCCGTGAAATGTGAACAGCTGGTATGTGCACACTCTCTCTGTCTCTCTCTCACACACACACACACACACATGCACACACACACACACACACTGGTATCCAGATTTTGTTCATGAAATCAAAGCAGACTACATTGATTTTGTTCTATGTTATCTATGTGACAGGTATATACTGATGATGTTCTATGTGTTATCTGTGTGACAGGTATGATCTAATGTTCTATGTTATCTGTCTGCCAGGTATGTACTGATGGTGAAGCTAGCCAGGTGATAAGTCCTAGCACAGAGGGACAGGGAAGAAATGCTGCAGTTGTCAACACTTTGTTCCAGCTCCATGTGGCAGTGTCCAAGGTAAAACAGTCATATATAGCTTTTAGCAGGTGCCAAATGATACTTATTGTTATTGTCATGAAACCCACATAAACTGTAGATTGTTATAGGATGCANCTGTTTGCCAGAGGTCCTCAGGAATTACGTAGTCCACATCAGGTAAGATATAGTACCCTATAGTACTGCCTTACACTTTCTGTTTGCCAGAGGTCCTCAGGAATTACGTAGTCCACATCAGGTAAGATATAGTACCCTATAGTACTGCCTTACACTTTCTGTTTGCCAGAGGTCCTCAGGAATTACGTAGTCCACATCAGGTAAGATATAGTACCCTATAGTACTGCCTTACACTTTCTGTTTGCCAGAGGTCCTCAGGAATTACGTAGTCCACATCAGGTAAGATATAGTACCCTATAGTACTGCCTTACACTTTCTGTTTGCCAGAGGTCCTCAGGAATTACGTAGTCCACATCAGGTAAGATATAGTACCCTATAGTACTGCCTTACACTTTCTGTTTGCCAGAGGTCCTCAGGAATTACGTAGTCCACATCAGGTAAGATATAGTACCCTATAGTACTGCCTTACACTTTCTGTTTGCCAGAGGTCCTCAGGAATTACGTAGTCCACATCAGGTAAGATATAGTACCCTATAGTACTGCCTTACACTTTCTGTTTGCCAGAGGTCCTCAGGAATTACGTAGTCCACATCAGGTAAGATATAGTACCCTATAGTACTGCCTTACACTTTCTGTTTGCCAGAGGTCCTCAGGAATTACGTAGTCCACATCAGGTAAGATATAGTACCCTATAGTACTGCCTTACACTTTCTGTTTGCCAGAGGTCCTCAGGAATTACGTAGTCCACATCAGGTAAGATATAGTACCCTATAGTACTGCCTTACACTTTCTGTTTGCCAGAGGTCCTCAGGAATTACGTAGTCCACATCAGGTAAGATATAGTACCCTATAGTACTGCCTTACACTTTCTGTTTGCCAGAGGTCCTCAGGAATTACGTAGTCCACATCAGGTAAGATATAGTACCCTATAGTACTGCCTTACACTTTCTGTTTGCCAGAGGTCCTCAGGAATTACGTAGTCCACATCAGGTAAGATATAGTACCCTATAGTACTGCCTTACACTTTCTGTTTGCCAGAGGTCCTCAGGAATTACGTAGTCCACATCAGGTAAGATATAGTACCCTATAGTACTGCCTTACACTTTCTGTTTGCCAGAGGTCCTCAGGAATTACGTAGTCCACATCAGGTAAGATATAGTACCCTATAGTACTGCCTTACACTTTCTGTTTGCCAGAGGTCCTCAGGAATTACGTAGTCCACATCAGGTAAGATATAGTACCCTATAGTACTGCCTTACACTTTCTGTTTGCCAGAGGTCCTCAGGAATTACGTAGTCCACATCAGGTAAGATATAGTACCCTATAGTACTGCCTTACACTTTCTGTTTGCCAGAGGTCCTCAGGAATTACGTAGTCCACATCAGGTAAGATATAGTACCCTATAGTACTGCCTTACACTTTCTGTTTGCCAGAGGTCCTCAGGAATTACGTAGTCCACATCAGGTAAGATATAGTACCCTATAGTACTGCCTTACACTTTCTGTTTGCCAGAGGTCCTCAGGAATTACGTAGTCCACATCAGGTAAGATATAGTACCCTATAGTACTGCCTTACACTTTCTGTTTGCCAGAGGTCCTCAGGAATTACGTAGTCCACATCAGGTAAGATATAGTACCCTATAGTACTGCCTTACACTTTCTGTTTGCCAGAGGTCCTCAGGAATTACGTAGTCCACATCAGGTAAGATATAGTACCCTATAGTACTGCCTTACACTTTCTGTTTGCCAGAGGTCCTCAGGAATTACGTAGTCCACATCAGGTAAGATATAGTACCCTATAGTACTGCCTTACACTTTCTGTTTGCCAGAGGTCCTCAGGAATTACGTAGTCCACATCAGGTAAGATATAGTACCCTATAGTACTGCCTTACACTTTCTGTTTGCCAGAGGTCCTCAGGAATTACGTAGTCCACATCAGGTAAGATATAGTACCCTATAGTACTGCCTTACACTTTCTGTTTGCCAGAGGTCCTCAGGAATTACGTAGTCCACATCAGGTAAGATATAGTACCCTATAGTACTGCCTTACACTTTCTGTTTGCCAGAGGTCCTCAGGAATTACGTAGTCCACATCAGGTAAGATATAGTACCCTATAGTACTGCCTTACACTTTCTGTTTGCCAGAGGTCCTCAGGAATTACGTAGTCCACATCAGGTAAGATATAGTACCCTATAGTACTGCCTTACACTTTCTGTTTGCCAGAGGTCCTCAGGAATTACGTAGTCCACATCAGGTAAGATATAGTACCCTATAGTACTGCCTTACACTTTCTGTTTGCCAGAGGTCCTCAGGAATTACGTAGTCCACATCAGGTAAGATATAGTACCCTATAGTACTGCCTTACACTTTCTGTTTGCCAGAGGTCCTCAGGAATTACGTAGTCCACATCAGGTAAGATATAGTACCCTATAGTACTGCCTTACACTTTCTGTTTGCCAGAGGTCCTCAGGAATTACGTAGTCCACATCAGGTAAGATATAGTACCCTATAGTACTGCCTTACACTTTCTGTTTGCCAGAGGTCCTCAGGAATTACGTAGTCCACATCAGGTAAGATATAGTACCCTATAGTACTGCCTTACACTTTCTGTTTGCCAGAGGTCCTCAGGAATTATGTAGTCCACATCAGGTAAGATATAGGACCCTATAGTACTGCCTTACACTTTCTGTTTGTCAGATAAACTCAGTGTCTGTTCAACATCACAAGGTTCAAAACATGTTTGTGTAAGTTGATGTTGATTGTTATATTACTGCCACCACTGGGAGATCTGTGACATTTAAGGTGGAAAAGAAGACCCTAACATTTCATGCCCCCCCCCATTAAAAAATTTATTATTTAAAAGAACTGTAAAAATGTATCAAACTGGCAATGTATAAAAACTTGAGTTTTTTTTATTATTTTTTTATCACTTCTAACAGTGGTTCTGGAGAAGCATACAGAAAGTTCACAGTGTTTTATAAATTATTTTCATCACCAATATATTTCTTGTTGTTTCTGAAGGAGGGTCATTGTTTTCTTGTAAATGTTACATAATTGTTTTCCACATTTCCAGGCAGCAAACTGGTCCATTAGTAGATATAGTCAGTGGTTAGATGATCACCCAGCAGAGAAAGAAAGGTTGGCACTGTTAAAGTAAGTCCAGAAATACTATCCAAAATAACTAAATAATTAAAGCCATTGGATGCTCTTAAATTTGCTGCCAAAAAGTAAGGCCAAAATAAGAACTATTTTGTTTCTCATCCTGCACTTATTACTGATGCTATTTCCTCATGAAATGTACAGAGAGACATCCTAGTTTAAATGTTACAAGAAAGATGTAGAACGGAGTTCTTTCATTAAAAACATTAAAAATAGAATGCAACATGGAATCCAAGTGCAGAGATGGGTTGAGCAGTGACTCTTGAATAGGTGATGTAAAATAACTTTTTAAAGGTAAGTTCTTTTGATGCCAGAATCCCAGATAGGATTTCTCTGATAAAAAAAAATTAACTATTTCCAGGGGCACACTGGAGTCCTATGTGCAGACTGTGCGTGTCAGAGAGGGAAAGGAGTTTGCTGCTGTGTACCCAGTTATGTTAGACTTACTACAGAGAGGTATGCAGACTTGTTCTTAGTGAAGATATCAGCTGACAAGGAGACATAGCAATGGAGTTTATATATTCCATGAGCTTTTTCCAGTGAGGTGTAATTATTTCATTGACTTGGGGGTTTGTTCACTTTAACTGAAACTGTGACAGTGGTTGAGGATGAGAACCCCCACAACTTGCTACTATTTTGATATTAAAATATGAACATGTAACAGCCTCAGATAAGATGAATTGAGTATTGTATTGTGGGTATAAATTATGAAATTTATTACATAAAAAAGAAATTTTAATCAAAGCACTCAAAAACTTAATGGTGGTTATTTGGGGTGTTCTGAGGTTGTAAATAGTGGTTTTAAAACTATGGTAAATTGGACTGTACATATTAAGAGGTGAATATTTTCATTTAGGAACAAATAAACAAATATACAAAAAAAAAAAAATTCTTATTTGTGTCTCATTTCATCTGTTGTAACATTATTTGTATCTTTCACATATATAAATTGTGTAAATGGAAAAAAATCCAGAGCAGTAGTTGATGGCAACAAGACTGCATCATAACATCAACTCTGGGCTTTTGGCCAGTTAGATCTTAAACAACTGGCCACTTACTAACCCAAGTGACAATCACAACACCTAACTATCTGTGGGCATTCTGCCTGATGATGCTCTGGGTGAAAAGAATGAAACATAGCTGTTTCACTTTATTTTTTTTTTTTCGTTACAAAGCATGTGATTATTATCACAAAAATCTTTAGTAAATATAACCATGAACAATCTTATTGATAATTATCACACACTGTCTTCAGCAAATTTCAGTTATTATAATATAAAATCTTTATAATAAGCAATATTGTAAGGTATGTATTATACTACATTACTGTGGAATGTGGATCCTAGAGAATTTAGTTTAATTTAATATAATATTTGAATATTTCCCTGTATTGACATTAATTTTAAACAATGTCGCAACTTATGTGAAGAAATAACAAGACAGCACAGTTGACCAATGTCCAGACCTAAAATAAAAAATATGGTGTCCGTGGTCTCTACGATTTTGTCAAGCTGTAATTTTTGACAAATTTTTAAAATCATAAGCCCACAGGCGGTAACGATATGGCTTTTCACAGACCGATCTTCCATGACCTGACCTCGAGGTCATGTGGGAGAAATGGCAAGCTGACTGTTTGTTACCCTCTACCAAAGCCACTGATTGATTTTTCACAAGATATTCACATATATGTGTTTAGATAAATAGACAGTCATTTGGTTCTCTGAAATGTGCCAGTAATATCTCCCACCCTGGTAGTGGTTAACCAAAAAACTGCACGGACATTTGTTTTATGCACTGCAAAACTGATCGCTTCCGTACAAAATTTCAAATTCTTCTATGCAGTAGTTGCCGACATACATGGATACTTTTTTTGACAGAATGTGAATGGGCCTACATAGGACACTTGTGACAAAAAGGAGGAGGAAAAAAATTTCTCTTATCAGTTGCCTTTGTGATATTTTTACAGCAAATAGGAGGGAGTCCCATATATTATCATACACTAATGTAGTTCTCAAATAACATGTTCCAAAGAGAAAAATTAAAATTAAATTTCAAGACAGGATTTAAAAAAAAGAAATACAGTAATTACTCTCTCTCTCTTCAATGAAAAAAAAATCAACTTTTCAGATAATTGTACATTATTTTGGAAGCATTCAAGATATTTTTGTAGCCTTTGTCATGCTTTTACTGTATAGAATGGAACCAAAGGATGGCCTGCTTTTCAGTTTTGAAGCTTTCAACGTGCATCTCAAATAACATATTCTATTGAGAAAATGGTGTAAATTTCATAACAGGTTGAAAAACTCTCCAGAGTGCTAGTAACTTCTAGCAAAATGCTGTTCAAGCTTGTTCCTGTCTGAATATGTGAGCGTCAGTGGTGTATTTTTTCTTTTTCTTTATATTGGGGGTATATTCTACCAGTTAAAATAATATGGAATATAATAAACTAATTGTCACATGTACGTCACAGATGCATTAGTATGTACTTTTTGTGCACATAATCTACACCGCAAAAGGTGGCCATTTTCTTCATTTATTACTTTCACTTTCCATCTCCTTCAGTGCATCTCGTTTGTGTCTTGTTGTGTATACGGACAAAATGTAATGCTGATTTATCATAGGTCAATATTTGAAGCGGCGCCATATTGGAGAATTCAAACAAGCAAAGCGTAATATTCAGTGGGTATCATATCGGTTGTAGCTTGTTTTATTACTCAATTTTCGACAAAGGGATCTTTTCTTCTTGTTCTCTATCTTTCTTTCGTCAGCGACCAAATTCCACTTTGTAATTACTACTGAAATAAGGAACGCGAATCTGGATGTCAAACCTACCATCTTTGATTTGATTTGCTTGCTGTGAATTAGTTCGGCAATTCATTTACTAAATTTTTGATATTTTAATTTGAAATATCAGGCCCGTTAAATTGTAAGAGGGCAACTATTATCACAGGAGCTGTTATCTCATTCAGACAGCTAAAAATACAAATACTGATTTGGTAAATTTCCTAACTTCTCTAGATAATACGGCCCGATAATACAGTGTATTTGAATATAGACATTGTTCAATGTCGACCCATTTCTAACCTTAAAATAAATAAGAATCAAAGATTTGTAGGTGTGGTAGGGGGGTATATGCCAAAAGTATTGCCCTAGCCCTTGAAAACTTTGGGAACCACAGAATGTTAAATTTGTTCATGGGCGCTTCGCAAGGACACTGATACCCTTGTTGTGTCTGATGTGAAGATAAAAATATATATTTTGATGTTGTATGATGAAACTTATTGCTGCCCAAGAGTTCTTGAGAAATGTGTCAGCTTCTTTGTACCACACAAATGTAAAGCAATTAACTATACAATTATAAGGAATTAAGGTTTGCCTTCATTGCACACAAGTCACTTGTGCAGCATTGGATCCACCTAAGATAAGAAATCAGTATATAGGCTTTGGGAGTGAATAACTTGGGAGGAGATTGGGAGAGATGATCTTGGGAGCACGTGGAAGATGGATGCAATTTCAGAGAGTTAAGGGTTGGAGACTTGACTTAAAATATGTAGTTACTGACTGATGAATAAATCATTTAACTGATCATTGGGTTTTTCTTTATAAATGCAACCTTAAGTAAATTTGACATGAACTGTGGAATCTTTGGATTGCGTTATACGCTATGTAAGTTAGAAATGTAATGTCCTATTTTGGGCCCACACTTGAATGAAGCTTACTAGTACTAAATTTATATAAGTTTAAGATATTCATTCCAAATGTATGAAAAGTTCTTTATACCCTGAAACTGGTAATAAACAGCACATAGATGTGTCTGTATTTATCTGTGTACATATATCCATACTATACCATTATAATCCTATTACATCTACATATAAAGATCCACATCTGTGGATTGATCAAACCATGCATCTGATTGCTTATATCAATTAATTTCTAACCTGTACTAGTACAGCTCTGAAAGAAAAGACATTTTTTTTTGTTTTGTTTTATATAAGACCAAATACTTTGATAATGGCTGTTTATCTCTCAGACTGTATGGGCACTTTCAAAATTTTGTTGAAAACACGATTATAATGGTTCAAGAACTTTTGTTTTAGCAGGAAAACTACTGTGATGTCTGGTGCTGAGATGGAGATACAGAAATTGCGACAGCAGCTGTCTGAGAGTGAAACCAACCTCCAGAGGGCAGCAGAGATTGGCAAGTCGCTGTTAGAGGACAACCGAGAGCTGAACAAGGAGTTAGAGGAGTCACGGAGGTCCATGACAGCCAGGATAGAGGTACAATGACAGCTAGAGCTCTGTGTATACAGACTACACTGTTAAGATAGAGGTACAGTGACAGCTAGAGCTCTGTGTATACAGACTACACTGTTAAGATATAGGTACAGTGACAGCTAGAGCTCTGTGTTTACAGACTACACTGTTAAGATAGAGGTACAGTGACAGCTAGAGCTCTGTGTATACAGACTAGACTGTTAAGATAGAGGTACAGTGACAGCTAGAGCTCTGTGTATACAGACTACACTGTTAAGATAGAGGTACAGTGACAGCTAGAGCTCTGTGTATACAGACTACACTGTTAAGATAGAGGTACAGTGACAGCTAGAGCTCTGTGTATACAGACTACACTGTTAAGATAGAGGTACAGTGACAGCTAGAGCTCTGTGTATACAGACTACACTGTTAAGATAGAGGTACAGTGACAGCTAGAGCTCTGTGTATACAGACTACACTGTTAAGACAGAGGTACAGTGACAGCTAGAGCTCTGTGTATACAGACTACACTGTTAAGACAGAGGTACAGTGACAGCTAGAGCTCTGTGTATACAGACTACACTGTTAAGACAGAGGTACAGTGACAGCTAGAGCTCTGTGTATACAGACTACACTGTTAAGACAGAGGTACAGTGACAGCTAGAGCTCTGTGTATACAGACTACACTGTTAAGACAGAGGTACAGTGACAGCTAGAGCTCTGTGTATACAGACTACACTGTTAAGACAGAGGTACAGTGACAGCTAGAGCTCTGTGTATACAGACTACACTGTTAAGACAGAGGTACAGTGACAGCTAGAGCTCTGTGTATACAGACTACACTGTTAAGACAGAGGTACAGTGACAGCTAGAGCTCTGTGTATACAGACTACACTGTTAAGACAGAGGTACAGTGACAGCTAGAGCTCTGTGTATACAGACTACACTGTTAAGACAGAGGTACAGTGACAGCTAGAGCTCTGTGTATACAGACTACACTGTTAAGACAGAGGTACAGTGACAGCTAGAGCTCTGTGTATACAGACTACACTGTTAAGACAGAGGTACAGTGACAGCTAGAGCTCTGTGTATACAGACTACACTGTTAAGACAGAGGTACAGTGACAGCTAGAGCTCTGTGTATACAGACTACACTGTTAAGACAGAGGTACAGTGACAGCTAGAGCTCTGTGTATACAGACTACACTGTTAAGACAGAGGTACAGTGACAGCTAGAGCTCTGTGTATACAGACTACACTGTTAAGACAGAGGTACAGTGACAGCTAGAGCTCTGTGTATACAGACTACACTGTTAAGATAGAGGTACAGTGTGAAGATATTGTCTTCCAGACTTTGGAGCAAGAGAAGTACAGCCTGCAGATGAAGTTACAGAGCAAGGTTCTCATGGAGCAGAATTATTCTGAGGAGATTGACAACTTGAAGCAAACCTTGAGACAGCAGGCCGAGGAATTATCCCACCTCCCAGATGCTGAACATTCCTCCAAAGTGGCAGAACTGAAAAGTCAGGTGAGGCCAGCATTTCCACAGTAGACTAAATAAGCTGACAGACTGTATTAATATTGACCAGTGTATATAATATTTCAGATAGACTGTCTCCAGGCCAGTGAGGAGAGATCTCAGCTGACAGACTGTATTAATATTGACCAGTGTATATAATATTTCAGATAGAGTGTCTCCAGGCCAGTGAGGAGAGATCTCAGCTGACAGAGCGCCAGATGACAGAGAAGGTGGGGCAGCTGGAGGCGTTGTTGAAGGAGGCACAGGACCAGCTGGAGCAGGTGGTTACCAGGATGAACGAGACGTGCAGCGAGGAGATGGCACAACTTTACTCTGAGGTCACCAACCTGCAGTGTGAGAGGGTAGGTGCTGGGGTCAACTTTACTGTGAGGTCACCAACCTGCAGTGTGAGAGGGTAGGTGCTGGGGTCAACTTTACTGTGAGGTCACCAACCTGCAGTGTGAGAGGGTAGGTGCTGGGGTCAACTTTTCTGTGAGGTCACCTACCTGCAGTATGAGAGGGTAGGTGCTGGGGTCAACTCTATACACAATATGAGGCATGTAGAATTTTTTTTCATGTTCCACAGAAGATTTGTCTTTATATAGTCTATTATTTCCCCAGATGAACCTCTCCAAAGAGCTGTCTGAGGCCCAGGCAGAGGTGCAGCAGCTACAGTTGAGTAGATTTGTTTTGATAAAGTCTATTATTTTCCCCAGATGAACCTCTCCAAAGAGCTGTCTGAGGCCCAGGCAGAGGTGCAGCAGCTACAGTTGAGTAGATTTGTTTTGATAAAGTCTATTATTTTCCCCAGATGAACCTCTCCAAGGAGCTGTCTGAGGCCCAGGCAGAGGTGCAGCAGCTACAGTTGAGTAGATTTGTTTTGATAAAGTCTATTATTTTCCCCAGATGAACCTCTCCAAGGAGCTGTCTGAGGCCCAGGCAGAGGTGCAGCAGCTACAGTTGAGTAGATTTGTTTTGATAAAGTCTATTATTTTCCCCAGATGAACCTCTCCAAGGAGCTGTCTGAGGCCCAGGCAGAGGTGCAGCAGCTACAGTTGAGTAGATTTGTTTTGATAAAGTCTATTATTTTCCCCAGATGAACCTCTCCAAGGAGCTGTCTGAGGCCCAGGCAGAGGTGCAGCAGCTACAGTTGAGTAGATTTGTTTTGATAAAGTCTATTATTTTCCCCAGATGAACCTCTCCAAGGAGCTGTCTGAGGCCCAGGCAGAGGTGCAGCAGCTACAGTTGAGTAGATTTGTTTTGATAAAGTCTATTATTTTCCCCAGATGAACCTCTCCAAGGAGCTGTCTGAGGCCCAGGCAGAGGTGCAGCAGCTACAGTTGAGTAGATTTGTTTTGATAAAGTCTATTATTTTCCCCAGATGAACCTCTCCAAGGAGCTGTCTGAGGCCCAGGCAGAGGTGCAGCAGCTACAGTTGAGTAGATTTGTTTTGATAAAGTCTATTATTTTCCCCAGATGAACCTCTCCAAGGAGCTGTCTGAGGCCCAGGCAGAGGTGCAGCAGCTACAGTTGAGTAGATTTGTTTTGATAAAGTCTATTATTTTCCCCAGATGAACCTCTCCAAGGAGCTGTCTGAGGCCCAGGCAGAGGTGCAGCAGCTACAGTTGAGTAGATTTGTTTTGATAAAGTCTATTATTTTCCCCAGATGAACCTCTCCAAGGAGCTGTCTGAGGCCCAGGCAGAGGTGCAGCAGCTCCAGTTAGAGGCAGGATCACTTAGAAGTCAGCTGGCAACAAAAACTGAGGAGGTGGAGGAAAAGGAATGCAAGGCCACATCCTACTACAATGCCTTGGAGGTAGTCTGCCTGTCTGTCTGCCTGTCTGTCTGTCTGCCTGCTTGTCTGTTTGTCTGTCTGCCTGTTGCTGTCTGTCTGTCTGTCGTCTGTTGCTGTCTGCCTGTCCCTCTGCTTGATTGAATATAAACTGTGTGTACACATGCGTGCTTGCTTACATACTGTGTGTATATATTCATTGATATTCTGTGTATGATTAGCTTATTTTAGTGGTAAAATTATGAACTATGACACTAAGTGTGTGCACTATGAGGCCCACTACCAGTTAAAGTTGGGAATTTGGCTGTTCTTAGAGATTGAATGAGTTTGTAAAGTCACTTGCCCTTCAAGGACAAAGTATATTGTCAACATTTTCAGATTTAATGTGTCATTTTTTTTATGTATGTTCAAGAGATATTTTGAAGATGTGTGCATTCAAAATTCATTGTAAAACTTCAACCACAGAATTGCAATTGCAGAAATGAATTGTTGTTATCATAAAGTATAGACTGTTATTAAAGCCCTACAGGAAAGTTGATGTGTAACAGTCACTGTGTAACAATCACTGAGTAGAAGTCACTGAAACAGTCACTGTGAAACGGTCACTGTGAAACAGTCACTGTATAATGGTCACTGTGTAATGGTCAGTGTATAATGGTCACTATATAACAGTCACTGTGTAACGACCACTGTGTAATGGTAACTGAAACGGTCACTGTGAAACAGTCACTGTATAATGGTCACTGTAATGGTCAGTGCAATGGTCACTGTGAAACAGTCACAGTATAATGGTCACTATAATGGTCACTGTAAAGTCACTGGTCACTGTAATAATCATTCTTGTATTCCAGACCTGCAGAGCTGAGGTCCAGGGGCTGAATGTCCAGCTTGACCTGGCCAGAATGGATGCTGCTGACCACAAGGAGAAAGGAAACTCTTTGTTTGGTGAGGTGAGCTGTTGTTGATATCTTAATGATGTATATAAACTATTGACTTATCAGTGCTTGTGAACAGTGCTGACAGGAAAGCACCTCTCTCTCAGACTTCATTTAAGGCAAGAACATTCTTCAGTTGTCTGATAAAATGATGTTGACATTTTAAAGGTGTTAAATTGTTTCCATATTTCAATCAGCTGGATGACAAGCGTCAGGAGGCAGAGAAGAAGTTGATCTCCCTCAAGGTGCAGTTTGACTCCATGAAGAGTCAGTATGAGATGAACAGACAACACCTGCACAAACTCAAAGTAAGGCACTAACACTGGGGGGTTACCAGTATTATATTGTTATTATGAACAGTTAGTATGAGATGAACAGACAACAACACAAACACAAAGTAAAAGACACTGACACTGGGGGGTTACCAGTATTATATTGTTATTATGATGAGTTTAGGAGTTGTTATTGCTGTTTGTAATACTATGTGGATGATGTAGTGATATTTTCCTTTAAATTTCTCATCACTTTATTATAAACATTGTAGTGTTGTATCTGTGACACTAACATCATTTTTCCAACAGTGTTGGAAATGATTTTCCAGTTTTCCCAGGTCATTTTGGCCATCTTGGTTAATGACTGTTGTAACTAGAAAAGCACTCAGAGAGCGCAGACCTTCGCCAAGGCAGCAAAGTCTCCTTCCAATGCCGTTTCACCCCTAAAATTTTTATATTTTTGATTATAGATTATTGATTGATTATTGATCTGGATCACCACCAAAAACTAATCATCTGTTCCTTGGCCCACATCTGACAGTTCCTGAAAATTTCATCAAAATCGGTCCATAACTTAGTTTTTTGATTATTGATTATTGATCCGAATCACCACCAAAAACTGTTCCTTGGCCCATTTCTGACAATTCCTGAAAATTTCATCAAAATCAGTCCATAACTTTTTGAGTTATGTTGATGACAGACAGACAAACAGGGGTGAAAACAACCTCCTTGGCGGAGGTAATAAGATAGTTGATAATAACAGATGAATTAACTTCCTTGCAATTCACTTGGTCATCATGGTGAAATTCATACTACAAAATCACACAGTAATTATGTATTGTTATGATTTATGTGTTCAGATGCAGCTGGCGGCAGTGCTACAGATGTCAGTAGGAAGAGCTGACGTAGCCCAGATGGACAGATTGCAATCCCAGCTCACTCTGGCTACTGCCGAAATACAGAGACTCACAGAGCAACTGAACAAGTATGAAAAATTGGAGGTAAGAAGATAGATTGAGGAGAGAAATAAGTGAGCTGATGAAGGGATGTATCATTAAAAATAAGTAGCATAACTTGGGGGGAAAAGGGTTTCTCTTTCTTTTCCTTTGTTTTGCTTTGAAAGAACATCTTTCCCCAAGTATGTGATGGTCATTGGTGATACTTGATTCTATTATTACATTTTGCATGTTTAGATTATTTTAAAGATTCATATTAATGTCAGATCATTACCACTAAACCCTACCCAATGGCACAATAGTTTCATTTAGCATAACTTGATATTATTGGTATAGATATTTTCTGCTTTCTGTGCCTACTGGCTGAAGAAAGGGGTGGGTGGGTCAAATTATGACCAGGAATTTGAAGGTGTTATTTTAAAGACTTCAGCTGCCAGAGGCATTGAGGTCGGTTGGTTTATTGGCATGTGGAGTATAAAATGTGTTAGATACTGGTACTTATGACATCAGTATGTGAAGGGACATTTACCCTGGCAGTGTATCTTTACCCATTTGATGGAAATGCCATGTGCTTGCCTGAGTGAGTAATGATGGGAAATAGACCAGACAAAACATGCAGTAGCAGACTGGCATTTTTTATATTCTACTGACAATACCATGATCTATGCTGTCGTCTGGTGTTATATTACAGTTAGCCAAGACAGGCCAGATCCTGGACCAGTACAGCACATTCAGCGGAAACACAGATAAGAACTTTGTGGATTATCTACAAAATATGATCAAAAACAAAGAGTGAGTAGCCATTCAGTTAGCCTAGATACTGGAGTATTGATTGATTGAATGTCGGGGATGTGCAGTGATGAACCATTTCTACATCATTATTTAAAAAAAAACTTATAATGATTTTTTTTTTACATTTGAATTTCTCTTCATCTTCCAGTCAAGAAATCGGTAAACTTCAGGAGGAGCTGCATAGCAAGCGTTTCAATCAGTTGGCAGAGAGAAGTCAATACATGGATGTCCACAGCAAACTGTGTGAGACAGAAAGACAACTGGAGAAGATGAGAGGAGACAACCTCAAACTACATCTTCAGCTGGAGGAGTACAAACTGAAATATGAACCTGGTAACCAAGAGTTTACTTACAATAATTCTTCTGAGAAATCTTGTTTAGAATTTCCATGGAAATGTCTTGCTTATGATGGCTTGTTACAGCCTAAATGTTCATATTTTAACAGTGCTGTCCTTCAAAATTTGTTTTAGATTCTGTGGCACACAAGAAAATTAGAAAGGGAAAAGTGGAGAAGATTCCAGGATTTAGAAAAGAAGAAGAATCAAGTCAAGCAGAGAGTGATTGTGCATTTTTACCTGAAAAAACTGGTCTTCAGTCAGCTGACAAATCAAAACCTTCAGATAAATCAGACGTCCTAAGAGAAAACCATGTGACGGAGTCTAAGAAAGATGCAAACTCACAAACCAAGGACTTTAAGTCTGTACAAAAGAAAAGGGTGACGCTTTCTAATGATGTAGACGTCATTGACAGTAGCACTACAGAGGAGGCATCAGTTCATAGTGCTGTCACTGATGAGAACTTGGAGTGCCTTGAGATGTCTGGAGACCCCGTGATACAACCCAAGGTCAGGAAGGTGAAGGGAAAACAGACACATTGTAATGTTGTGAAAGTAGGAAGTGGTGCTGCCAAACTGGAGACAGACCAGTGCAAAACACAGTGAGGTGTTAAGACTCCACAGACAAGCTATGTTAATCGGCTGGTGGCAAGCTGTCTCTGGTGTTTGTGTTAACAGGCTGATGGCAAGCTATATGTTAACTGGCTGGGGGCTGGTCCCCATTTATATACAGCATCTTCCTTCTATTCACTGGCAGGTGCCCCCCTTGACCTCCCCCCTGACCTCTTAACAACATCAGCTGGAACCAACAGATCNCTTGTTACAGCCTAAATGTTCAATATTTTAATTTGTTTTAGATTCTGTGGCACACAAGAAAATTAGAAAGGGAAAAGTGGAGAAGATTCCAGGATTTAGAAAAGAAGAAGAATCAAGTCAAGCAGAGAGTGATTGTGCATTTTTACCTGAAAAAACTGGTCTTCAGTCAGCTGACAAATCAAAACCTTCAGATAAATCAGACGTCCTAAGAGAAAACCATGTGACGGAGTCTAAGAAAGATGCAAACTCACAAACCAAGGACTTTAAGTCTGTACAAAAGAAAAGGGTGACGCTTTCTAATGATGTAGACGTCATTGACAGTAGCACTACAGAGGAGGCATCAGTTCATAGTGCTGTCACTGATGAGAACTTGGAGTGCCTTGAGATGTCTGGAGACCCCGTGATACAACCCAAGGTCAGGAAGGTGAAGGGAAAACAGACACACTGTAATGTTGTGAAAGTAGGAAGTGGTGCTGCCAAACTGGAGACAGACCAGTGCAAAACACAGTGAAGTGATAAGACTCCACAGACAAGCTATGTTAATCGGCTGGTGGCAAGCTGTCTCTGGTGTTTGTGTTAACAGGCTGATGGCAAGCTATGCCCCTGGTGCCCCATGTTAATCGGCTGGTGGCAAGCTGTCTCTGGTGTTTCGTGTTAACAGGCTGATGGCAAGCTATGCCCCTGGTGCCCCATGTTAACTGGCTGGTGGCTGGTCCCCATTTATATACAGCATCTTCCTTCTATTCACTGGCAGGTGCCCCTTTGACCTCCCCCCTGACCTCTTAACAACATCAGCAGGAACCAACAGACATTCAATTACACCAGGAACACACCACTAGGAGTAGCATTCAATTACACCAGGAACACACCACTAGGAGTAGCATTCAATTACACCAGGAACACACCACTAGGAGTAGCATTCAATTACACCAGGAACACACCACTAGGAGTAGCATTCAATTACACCAGGAACACACCACTAGGAGTAGCATTCAATTACACCAGGAACACACCACTAGGAGTAGCATTCAATTACACCAGGAACACACCACTAGGAGTAGCATTCAATTACACCAGGAACACACCACTAGGAGTAGCATTCAATTACACCAGGAACACACCACTTGGAGTAGCATTCAATTACACCAGGAACACACCACTAGGAGTAGCATTCAATTACACCAGGAACACACCACTAGGACCCCATTCCCACAGATTTTAGATCAATCTATCCCTGTGGGGAGTCTCACTAGTGTCAGTTTAGCCGGCTTAAATGTCTTTCCTGCCTACTAAAAGCTGTAAGGGGGTAATTAACTACTGTGCGCGCTCGGCTGACATCAATTTAGCGTGAACCCCCAGGGAGTTAGGTCGATCTTGATGGATTGATTTAAATCTATGGGAATGCACTCTAGGAGTAGCATTCAAGAACTTTCTTCCATGTAATGTCAAAGGTATTAAAATCGCTAGAAAGTGCACACTCTGGAAAGCTTTAACGATATTTGTTGTATCGTGTTGTGTCCTGGTTGATTTCAGACATGATAATAAGTTAGTGATTTGATTTTACAAATGGTAGAAAGTGTATACACAAGCTACCTCAGACATCATTTGGGTTGTATTTTGACTTAAGGACTGACTGTAGCATCTGCCAGGTGTACTCTATATAAACTGCCTGCATAAAGAGGTTTGATATGTTACAAAGGTCATACTTTGGCAATATAGATTTTATTTACTTTGCATTTATGTGAAATACCTATCAGTATAATATAAGCACAATAAAAACTTATCTATTGGCTATACAATTCTTTATCTTATATTTCTGACCTACTGAGTAATCATTGGAATCGACTGCATACAATTAAAGCTCTTGCTCTCTGTGAACATATATGTATAGTTATCTGATCATCAAGGGAAGGTGGTGTTTTCTGTGAACATGTGTATAGTTATCTGATCATCAAGGGAAGGTGGTGTTTTCTGTGAACATGTGTAT